ATTTCTTTAAATTAAATTCAAGTCAAATTTGCAGAACCTTGAATCTCCTCCATGGAACCTTAGTAGTCCATGGAACATATTTTGAAAACCTTGGGTTAGATGATCCTCTGAGATCTTTTCCAACTCTATGATTTTAAATTGTCCTTTCGGATTAGACTTGCTGAATTTATTTCAGATTGCTTAATTTAAAAATGTTTCTGAAAATAAACAAAGTTACTTTATAGAGTTTGGGATCTTTTCAGGTAGAGCTAATGATTTTATCCCCCAGAGTCCTTCACCTTTCAAGGAATTATTTACAATGAGCTCAGTGACTTGATAGTGCCCAAACCTTTTTATTTTACCATATTAGCTCAAAGACACTAACTGACCTACTGTGAAACGTAAAATGTTTTTATTAGCCTTATCAGATGAGCACAATTCTTTGCTCACTCCATAAAACTGAGTGATGATTCTTTAGATGTGAATGTTAGGTAGGTTCTACTGTAATAACTAATCGTAAAAGTTATAAATTTGTTTGATGGATGAAATGTACACTTTTTGTATTCTGTACAGCTTTTTCTTTTTTAAGATGAAATACTTAAATGTATTTATTATGATAGGAAATATAATGTGTGCCTTCTTGGATTTGTGAAATGGTTTCATAAACTCTTAAGGAATTTGTTTTATAAGTCATGAAGTGTTCCCTATCCTGACTCAATAACAATGGGTTTACTCGTATTATAATGCTATAGAACTTTAGTTTGAGAAAATGAATTTGAATATGTGCTGAATTTAGAGGTTGAAAATAATAGTATCTGTTTTTAGGACAAACTGATAGATTGTGCAATAAATAATCTTTGGCAAATCTTAGCTATATGAGTTTTTTTCTTACATAAGGTCATATTCTTATATACTAAATCTTTATGTTCCTTAGAGCAGCAGTCCCCAACCTTTTTGGCACCAGGGACTGGTTTCATGGATGACAATTTTTCCATGGACTGGAGTGGGGCAAGGGGTGTGGTTTTGGGATGATTCAAGCCCATTACATTTATTGTATGCTTTATTATTACATTGTTAACCTCTCTGCTAATGATAATCTATATTTGCAGCCACTCCCCAGCGCTAGCATCACTGCCTCAGCTCCACCTCAGATCATCAGGAATTGGATTCTCATAAGGAGCACACAACCTAGATCTCTCGCATGCACGGTTTACAGTAGGGTTCACCCTCCTATAAGGATCTAATGCTGCCGCTGATCTGACAGGAGGAGCTCAGGTGGTGATGCAAGCAATAGGGAAAGGCGATAAATACAGATGAAGCTTCGCTGGCTTACTTGTTGATCACCTACCGCTGTGCAGCCCGGTTCCTAACAGACCACTACCAGTCACACATGTGGCCTGAGGACTGGGGACGGCAGCCTTAGAGGACTATTCTATATTGTGTTCTGGGAGTTTGTAATGTTTGTGTGCTATGTTTTAAGATTCATTTCACATTGGTATCAATTGCCTTATATCTAATATATATTTGGATAATAAGACTGCTTGAAAATATATTTTGGTTCAGAGTTTTTTTTTAACATTAGGAAGTTGGGTTTATTAAAAGGCAGTCTGAAGAATTTGCATTTTTAAATTTTTTTTTTGATAAGTCAAGCTTTACCTAGGAATAAGAAAACTACTTGGAGATTAGGGAAATCAGCTGATCACTCACATTTATGATGGACTACACACTGACAATAATATAAAAACAGTTGACAGCAGACTTTCATTTGTTTTTGTCTTTTTATCCTATTGGACAGTAAAAGGAATTGATAAAATACTCCTACCCTGTGGTAGTTTGATGTTTACCTTGTAAAATGATTTCTACTATATAAGAATGTAATTAGAGAAACATCGTAGAATCTTAGTGCTGAAAAGAGCAAAGGCATTTATAAGAGGAGGTGGCAGTTTATAATTAAATTTACTGATGCGTATCATCATACTGTGGAGAAATATACGTTTTGCTACTGAGACTGAAAGCCTCCACAGAGATATATTTTGATAATCTTATAGCTATTTATAGGCTTACTGTCATCTTCTGTCTTACTAATTGCAAAACTTTCCAAGGAACTGTGTTTATCTATCTGATTAGTGTTCCCTTTATTGAAGTTAGTTACACTTGTTCTTTGTAACAGTCATAGTTCAGATGTAGAATATTTAGATATATCACCAATATATCACCTTCAGTTGAGATGAATGAAAGCCAGGAAAAGGTGAATATTGTTTCACCAACACAGCACTCAGAAACAAGAAAAGAGAAAGTCAGAGAGATGTGCTTTCAACTCTGCTTTAATCCAAGAGGAAATAAAGGCCCCAGGAACAGGCCTTGATAAAAACCAAACCGGGAGCTGTGATTTGTTTTCATGAGGCAAAGAGCAATGACATTAATCATTTCAACAATACACTTGAAGTAACACATAAAGTGAACGTGAGCCCTTCAGGATAGGTAAGGTATAACATGCCTCAAAAACTGTTCCTTTTAAAACCTAGGCCAATATATAATTGCCTTTGATTCCAACTGTGAACACAAAGGAAAGCAGGATTCATCCCCAGAAAGGCCAGTTAAGTATGACGACATAATAAAAGTGCAAAGTGCTATAGAAAAAGGTGCCTGAGAAGCTTGCAGGATAGGTAAAAATCTAACGCATGTTGGCTGAACAGATTAAAATAATAATATCCGGGGAAAAGGAAACGAATGTGTGGCTTTGCTCATGAGCTATTAGGTCATTAAATATGAAATGTCCAATTGTGAACCAAAAATGTAGTTTATTAGATCTCAAACAAGAAGTACAATTAATCAAAGTATGTGCCTAAACTATCAACAGTTTTGCCATCTTAACTTAAGTAGCTTGTTTATGGCAGCAGTGGAGAAGCCTGGAGAGTGAGTGGTGATGAAATTGCAAAAGGCATTTTCCACAGCTTACTGGGAATTATTTTTCCTTGCAAGAAGTGCTCCAAAGCCTGGAAGAAAGTGGTAGTCAGCTGGTGCAAGGTCTGGTGAATACAGTTGATGACAGAGACTTTCCAAGTCCAGCTTCTGTAGTTTGAGTAGCATTGTTTGAGCAACATGTGGACGAACGTTGTCTTGCAACAGGATTGACCTATCTCTATTGACCAGTCTCAGCTGCTTAATCACAAGCATCCTTATCATTTCATCCATTTGGCTGCAGTAGATATCTGCTGTAATAGATTGACCAGGTTTCAGAAGCTGTAGTGGGTAACACCAGCGCTGGACCACCAAACAGACACTGTTAGCTCTTTTTGATGAATATTTGGTTTTGGACTGTTTCGGTACTTCATCTTTATCCATTGTGCCAAACACTTGCAATTGTCAAAAATAATCCATTTTTCATCACACGTAACAATACAGTATAGAAATGGTTCGCCTTTATGTTGTGACAGCAAAGAAAGACAAGCTTCAAGACGATTTCTCTTCTGATGCTCGTTTAATTCATGTGTAACCCATCTATCCAGCTTCTTTATCTTGCTGATTTCTTTCAAATGGTCCAATACTGTTGGAATAGTAATGTCAAACCTTGCTGCTAATTCACACGTATGTTGAGTTGGGTTCACTTCTACTGTAGCTTTCAGCTTGTCATTATCCACCTTGGTCTCAGGTCACACACATGGCTCATTTTCAAGGTTAAAATCACCAGAACTGAACTTCTCAAACCGTTGACATACTATGTGTTCATTAGCCACATCCTTGCCAACCACTTTGTTGATATTTCGAGCTATCTGTGCTGCATTGGTTCCACTATGGAAGTCATATTCAAAAACAACACGAATTTTTGACTTACCCATGGTTTCACAAAAATTGCTCTAAAAAAATTTGAAAGATAATCACAAGCCAAAACATGCTTTGCAAGACTGAGGATGTACCTTCACAATAAAAATAAAACAAGGAGTGTCAAAGTGAAATGTCAGAGATATCAACTGTCAAACTTAGTACTTAAGGAAATGGGACATTTCATACTTAATAACCTAATAATGTAATAGGACAGAAGTTAGAGAAAAAGCCAAGGTTTCCCTTCTGGGTCTGGTGAGCTTCAGTTTGAAAATTTTGAGTTTTCCTAGAGAATGTCATTCATGTCTGAGTCTCAGTAAAAGATAAATTAGTGGTTATTATGATAGCTTTGCATGATGCCCAATCTTAAAGTAATAAGCTTTAACATTTATATAAATATGATTAATTTGAAATAGTTTTAAATTACTGAGCCACAGTCCTAACAAAAGATACTTGATACAGATAAAATAACAATGAAAAACTGTACAGTAATTCCTACGCTGCAAATGTATACAAACAAAGGCTTTTCAAAAATAATGAATCCCTAAGATAACAATGGGTTTTCATTCAATTTCTTTTTTTTTTTTTTTTGAGACAGTGTCTCAGAGTGAGTGCCGTGGCGTTAGCCTAGCTCACAGCAACCTCAAACTCCTGGGCTCAAGCAATCCTACTGTCTCAGCCTCCCGAGTAGCTGGGACCACAGGCACGCGCCACCATGCCCGGCTAATTTTTTTCTACATATATTTTTAGCTGTCCAATTAATTTCTTTCCATTTTTTGGTAGAGACGGGGTCTCGCTCTTGCTCAGGCTGGTCTTGAACTCCTGAGCTCAGAACGATCCGCCCGCCTCGGCCTCCCGGAGTGCTAGGATTACAGGCGTGAGCCACCGCGCCCGGCCTTCAATTTCATAATTAGCTGTAAGACAGCATATATTTTTGCCTAGTAAAAAGACAACATTTATAGTTCTATATGCTAAGTTGACCAGTGGAGGGGACCGGCATTATAAAGTCACAGGGTAAAATAATCTAGAGTCAAATAAGCAAGTTCACAGGCAAAAATAGGCTCTTCTAACTTTTTAATGATTCAAAAGGATGTCTTGTAATCTGAATTTGCCCACAGAAATAGATAGGAAGGTTCTTGAGCAGCTTATTGAGTACTAGGAGCACATATCCTTAAAAAGTTGCCAAAAGAAACTCATTTAGTTATTCAATAATGTATTTATTGAGCACCTACTACATAACTAGGCACTAGTAAGACAGATGAAAAGTATACTGGTAAAGCTTAAATTCAGATTAGTTTTTAAAAAATGCTTTCTTCCTGGCCCCTGGGACCACTATATCTTTGAAAGAAGTCTTCATATTAGGGAAGGGAGAAATTTTACCTTTTAAAAAAAAATGTGCCAGGTTACAGTGATACAAAAACAAAACAAAACTAATATTTGTGTGACCTAATGGAATAGTCCTGGTGGAAAGGACTGGATTAGGAATAAGGAAACCTAGTTGCAGTCCTATTACTCATTAGCTGTGTGACCTGAAGCAAATTTCACTTCTCTGGCCCTATCTCTTCATCAGTAACATGATAATTGGGCTACAATCGTAGAATACTAGAGCCAGAAGGAACAACGATCATCTAGTCCTGTGCTTTTCAATGTCCTTAGTCCAAATGAAAATATTATGTAGCCACCCCAATGTAAAACTGATGAAAGCAGAGTCACTTTGACAGCCTCAGAGTCTCACTCTGCCCCACCCTGAAGTGGCCATAACAGAACACCATTTGAAAACCACTCATCTAGAAGGACCCCTCGCTTTCTAGATGAGGCAACCAAGACTCAGATTAGGAGACACTGTTCTGAGCACATTTGGCTGCCTAACTAGAAAGCAGAGGGAGGGCTAAATAAAATAGTTTAAGAAATTCATTAAAAATGCAAATTGTCAAGATGGAAGCCTTCTATTTTAACTCTGTCAAAGTGGCCCCTTTATGAAATGGAGCTTTGAAATTGATTTTGTTTAAGGCAGCCAGCCAGTGGCTGAAATGAACAACTACCAATGTTAGCCTACAGGGCCTGTAGAGAGGAGTATGGTAGAAAACTACACAGACCTCTCATGTCAGTTGGCATTTGACCATGGAAAATCCTGGCCCAAATAATTCGAGCACTGGCGGTTTCAAGAGAAATATTTGGAAAATTGTGAACAAGTATAGACAAGTGCCCAGCTCCCAGATCTCTAAGGAGAAGTCACCATCTATTACTCAGAAATAATAGAACTGTGGGCATGTGAAATCTTATAGTGAACAGTGTGACCAAAATTACCAGTTTGAAATTTCTTCAGAGGCATCCTCTTCCTGGAGGAAAGGCCTGGTTTGGTATCTTGACCACTAATAGCCACAGCAGACTTGAAATTAAACCAAAAAGTTAAAATGCATGTCAAGTGCTGGACCTATTTGGTCAAGGCTGTCATCTCTTCTGATTTCATGGCATCAGACAGAAAGCTAAGCTCATTGCATAAGGTCTCATATCGGAATGCCATCCGGATCTGAGCAACATTTGTCTTTCGAATATCATTTCCTTCAGGTCCTTCTTTATAATAATTTTTTCCCAGAAACTTCTGCTTTTCCTATGGACCAAGAGAAATACAAAGGAAACAATTCACTTTCTATATCCACATGAGCAGCTTCAAGATCAGCCACAGCAAATCAGACTAGTCCCCCTGAGGCAGAGCCTCAATCAGGACATCTCATCCCCACAGAACTCTTAGAGAATTCACCCTGACAACCTCAGTCATTCCTCACATGACCTTTCATTCCTGACTCTGCTTTTCTTGATCAGAAAAAAAAGATAAAATCTGTAAGAGCTGCTGGGGATGGAGAAGTCAAGGTGGAGGCTTGTATAAGACTCTAAGTCCCGCCTGGGAGTTGACAAGGACAGACAATAAGTATTCCTGGGAGGGCCAATCCAAGGAACCAAACTGCACATGAAGAGAATCTTAAGCCTTTCACTCTTGTGCATCATCATCCAAGAAGAGCAGCACCTAATGCAGCCGCTCCCCATACCAATGACATCACCCAGGGACCCGAGATACCATCCAGAACATGGTTCTCAGTGCTCCATGTCAGAATTACTTATGGAGCTTTACAAAAAGTTGCTGATGCCCGTCTTCAAGGTTTCTATTCAATCTAGATACTGTTCATCTACTCAAGAAATGCTGAGTGCTTACTGTGTGCCAGGGACTGTTCTAGGGCCTGGGGATATGATGCTAAACAAGTCTTTGCACAGCAGAGCTTACATTCTAGAGGGAAAGACACATAGCTAAATACATCAGTAGTAATAAACATTATGAAGAAAAACAGATTAAGAGGATAGAGAATGATGGCAGGCGTGTGGCTGCTTTGAAATGGGTGATCAGGGAAGGCCTCTCCAAGGAGGTGACATCGAGTAGAGGTCTGAAAAAAGGGGGCGGGAGCAGCCGTGAAAACTCAGGAATCTGAATGTCAATGTGCCAGAGACCCTGCCTGTTCTTTCATCACGGGTCCCAGTGCCTAGAAGGTGCCTTGGCACACAGTCAGCTGTCACCATTTGTTGAAAGGCTGGGAGTGACAGAGGCAGCATCGTCACATGCCATACCTGATGCGAGAGGCCGCTCTGCAGCACGCTATTCCTGGCGATCTCACACAAGTCGCACGTGCTCAGCTTCCACACTTGAGCTGCGATGGCATATTCTTCCATAAGTGCTTCCTAGATCCCTCCCCCAAAAGTACGTGGATTAGATGGGAGAAAATCCATTTCAATGCTTCACATATTTCCAAAGCTAAAAACATCAGACATTGCAGAGTTAATTTTTTCCTTTACTAACTAGCACCTGGATCAGCAAACATCACACCTTAAATTCCTAACTCCTAAGGTCTTTTTGTGTGAAATCACAGGTTATTAAAGAGAGAGATAAAAGCACATCTCCACATTTATTCATTGACCAGCACTGAAAGCCTGTCATGTTTGAAGCTCTGTGCCAGTCAGCGGGGACGCCAGTCTCTGCTTTCCTGTGACAGCCCCCAGTCATGCCATTTTTAGTACCTGCCCTCTAGCTTTGCATTTTATAGATTGTCCAAATGTATACATACACACACACACACACACACACACATACACATACACGAATAAAGTACTAAGAGCAGAGACAGAACCTTGAATAAGAATGAGAAGTGATTGTAGGATAAGCAGTAAGACAGTATGAAAAGGATTTGGGTTTGAGCTGTGGTTTTGCTTTCCCTTCTGGGATGTAAGTGTCTGCCATTAGTCACCAACCCTTCCATTGCCTCGCTAGCCTAGAGCAGTGCTTCTCAAAGTATGGTCCAAGGACCCCTGGGGGTTCCCCAACCTTTTGAAAGGGCTTCCTTTCCCAATTATGTATCTTTATGAGGCAAGTTTTTTTTTTTTTTTTTTACATAATTTGATAAAAACAGCAAATGGGATGTGGAAGCAGATGTGAGAATCCTGATTCTATTAAGTAAGACATTAAAGAAACTTAGAAAACTCTAAGACAGTACCCTTCTCTATTTTTGTTTGCGGAAATAAAGTTATTTTCAGAAAAATTGCTATTTGTGTAATATTTAATAGGTTTATTAATGTTTTTAAATAATATTTTTTAATTTCTCATTAGCTTCTAACAAAGTAAATACCAGTAGATATGACCCACATAAGCAACAGCTCTTTGAGGGCCTCAATTCTCATTAAAGGGGTCCAGAGACCAAAATGTTGGAGAACATCTGTCCTAGAAGATTCTGGCGCTTCTATTTTTGCTAACCAATGGCTGGTCTTATCAACACCATCAGTGTACTAGGTAGATACTTGTGGCTGGTCCCCATGCATGATACCTCCTTCCCCTTCTCTTTTCTCAGAGATTCAAGGTATAATAATAATAATCATTGATTTAAAAGGTAGCTAATCTTTTGAATACAAGCTATATGCTGACACTATATTAGACTCTGATTCATGACCTTAGTCCTCACAGTAAGGTAGAGGTTGAGACAGTTTTACTCCATCTTACAGATGAACAGGGATTCTAAACAGAGGCCTAATAACTTTCCAAGGTGACGGAGCTAGTAGATATCAAAGAAAGGGAAAATAGAGAAAAGCAAAGATATTAAATTGTGCCTTCAAAGGTGCAAGGACCCCAAAGAGAGGGCTCCTGGAAGGAACGCTTTTCCCTCACCAATGGCTTACCTCTTGTCCTCACTGGACCACCAACCCCACCCCAAAAGCAGAACTGAGCCATGGTCTCAGGTCCCTACAATGGGAGGACAGGCTAGGACTGATGCCTGCTGGGTCACCACTGTCCTTACCCCAAAGTCCTCACCTTCGTGTAATGGAACTGCATGGGGTCATCAGTGGAGAGAGAAACATGCAGTCCCTTGTGCAGGAATTCCCTCAGAGGGTTCTTGGAATATTCAAGGAACAGACTGTTGTTGCTAAGAGGAGACATGGCAATGGGGATCTGAGCAAGGTAGTAGAGATACTGCAATACTGGACTCTGCAAAAGAATCACCAAACTCATGAGACAAGTGCCAGAAAGTGTGGTGGGGGGAGGGTGGAGAGAGGGAGACAGGGAGGGAAGATGCATTCATCAGTGGAAACCAGGGGTCTGAGCAGTATCTGCACAAGTGTCCAAACCAACCCTGAGTTCCCAAGCCAGGACACCCAGACCCACTGTCCCCTTCGTCTCCTTCCTACATCACATGCCCAGCCCTCTCTGGCACCTGCCCGCTGTTTGAAGTGCTCACTCTCTCTGCAGACTGGAGGTACGCCTCAGGGCAGGAAGGGCAGCCGACCCCAGCCTGCATCTTCTGCTCCCCTCCCCCAGGCATGGACCCATCAGGCAGTCCGGGAGATGCCCCACTTTTGCCGTTTTGTCACTTTGACTGCAAACATTCAGTCGAGCCTGTAAACACTCCAGCTCCTCGGAGATGAGCCCTGAAGGGATGGGAAGGGTCAGACCTGACCGGGCTAGCATGGTTTTCTGATGTAGCAACCTGCCCCACCCACCCCACCCAAAAATGTGACCTGGGGTTAGACCTCGCCAGGACCAGGGCAAGGGACACTGTTCCTATGGAAGTGATCCAAAATTCAGAGAAGACCATGCACACCAGTGGAAAGGTAGATGGGCTCTGTGTCCAACAAGTGTGGGCTGGTCAATTATAGACCGGGTGGCAGACCCTTTATCCAACAATAGTCTTTGGAATGAGGAGCACAGAGATGATGGGCAACACCGAACAATGTTACACATGGGGACAAAGTAGGAACCAAAAATCTGTGTTCACTGTAAGAAGCACATTAAAAATATGCTCTGGAAACAACATGGAAATTGGAAGTATTAAAAAGCTAATGGTTGTTTCTATTAAAGTAATAGCAACAAGGGGTTTTTTTTTCCCATTTCTCCATTTTTTGGAAAATCTAAAATGTGATGAGTTTGATTATATTACTTTCATAATTACCAATGAAACCAAGGTGACTACAGACATCGCAGCCCACGTAAAGGCCTCAACCTTCTGGCATCACTGGCCAAGACTCCCAGGGGCAACAGGAGCCCAGAACAGGACAGTCACTGCAGGGCCAGCTCCCGTGAGTGGCCTAGTTACCTTCTTGAGGAGAAGCCCATGGGAGATGTTGTCGGCAGTTAGGAAGGCAGACACCAGGTGGGTGATGGAGCCAGCCTCTCCACAGTGTGGCCGGAACAGGAATGTGCTCAGGCTGCGTTCCCTGTAGGAGAAGGAGGGCCCCAGTTCAGGAAGGACCCCTGGTTTCCTCTGCCTGGGGCCCGTACCCACAACTGGGACCAAATCTGTGGGCAACAGCCACGCATGGCAGGGTCAGCATGGCTGACCCAGTGCACCCTGGAAACTACCCCTCCTAAAATGCAGAGCCCCTCAGAACCAAGAGGCATCATCTCTGGGGGCAGAGAGTGGGCCTAGTGGTGGAAAGAGACCCTGTCTGCCAGGCACTCTCCTCTACCCCTCCTTACCAGGCCATGTGTCCCACATTCACAGACCTCCAGAGCAGGAAAGGCCTTGAGAAACTATTGAGCCCAGCCTCTGTGTCATAAAAATGGGCAAACCCAGGCCCAGAGAGTGGAATCTATGGTCCAAGCTGCTAGAGCAGATCAGTGACAAAGCTGGAACTAGAACTCCCATCTCCAAAAGCTCAGCCCAGGACTGCCTCCAGCCCACCAGGCCATTTCTTTCAATCAGGGCCCCATTTGAAACCTCCACACCCACAAACTAGCATGGGCTTAGGCTGAGAGAGTGGCCCCAAGGCCCAGCATGGGCAGGCAAGGTGCAAGGCTCATAGGGAGAGGAATGGCCCTGGCAGCCAACCCCCCGCCCACCTGTGCCTTGTCTGTGTGTACTGGTGGGAGCCTGTGCATGTTACGCCATCCCTGAGGGCATGCATGGAGTTAGTGTTTGGATTCGCATTATTTGTACAGTGCCTGGGATAATGCCTGTCACAATGCAGATACAGTCATTTGCTGAAAGAATAGATGCATGTGTGAACATTGTTAGTGAGCATGCCTGTGTGTTGGCATGTCTCTGTAGTCTCAGGGATGTACAGGTGCACATGGACTGTGTTGGTGAGTGTTATGTATATATGAACACGTGTATGTATAGGGTGTGGCTCCATTGTATACTATATATGATACAGGTCTGTATTGGCATGTGTGTTGTGGTAGGCGTGTCTGCGTGTGTGTGTGGTCATGTGGAGACATGTCTTGTGTGGTATTCTGGGGAGTGTCATGTGTTTTGAGGTATGTGGGCATGCGGACATGTGTGTTGGTTCAGATGCACAGGGACACATGGATCACATGCACGTGCGAGTGCTAACACATGCACACAAACCTGCGGAGGTTGTTGAGCACCATGATGTTGGCATACATGTAGTACAGGTAGTAGCTGTAGGGCGGGTTCTGCTCACTGGTCCAGATGTCTGGGCTGGGGCTCTTGTCCGAGAACATGTGGTCACTGTGCTTGGACTCATCATCCACGCTGTCGAACCCCGTCACCTAGGCAGGAGGAGGGGTCCTGAGCTTCAAGACAAGGCAGACCAGGCCAGGATTCGGGCTCAGCTCAGCTTCCCGGGCTCAGAGCTGAGCTGCCAAAGGGGAGCCTAGGCCCCTTAGGTTCACACCTCAGCAGGGGACCGTGTGGCCTGGCTGAGGCCACATTCCTCCTAGGGATAGGGATGGGAAGTGGGTACAATGCCTAGGTCTGCCCTTCCAGAGCTTCCAAAGGTAGCCAGGAGGCCAGGCTGGAGAATGCCAAGCCCCTTGTATGGTGGTGGTGACAGTGGGAGACACTCAGCCAGGCCAGGTAAAGAGTGAAGCAGCCACACCCGCTGCTTGTCCCGCTGCTGTGCCAAGGCCCCACTGCCATCAGCAGCAGTGACAAGCCCTGCTTGAAGCAGTGCACACACATCAGTTATTCAGTACTCAGAGCAAGCCTGAGGGCGGGGTTGGCTGCGAACCTCATTTTACAATTGAGCAAACCAGGGCCACAGCAATTAAGGAAGTTGCCCAAGAGAGACGACCGGGCTCTGAGCACACATGGGCTCTGGGTGTGGACTCTTTGTGGCTGTGGGTGGAGGATGCCCTAGGGCATGTCCAGGTGCGGCCAGGAGAAACCAGCCAGATGCCTCACAAATTGACCAAGAGGGTCCTTGCCAGGCTGAGCCTCAGTTCCTGGGAGGCAGCTTTGCTCTCCAGTCCCCACCGGGAACTGCCCTCTGAGCTGGGCCAGAGGAGCCTCAGCCAACTCCCACTCTCCCACTGCAGTTATGCCTCATATGGGCCCTGCCTAAGTCACCAGAGTCTTCTGGCTAATCCCAGAGGCCAAGCCCCAACCGAGAATGTATTAATACCTATAGCGGACATGGGCTCTCAGCCAGCACGAAGGGGAGGTTTGCTAACAAGTGGCCTTTCACTCGGCCACAGCAGTGCTTTAGGGAGGGGCCCCTGAATACCAGACAGGAGGAAGAGATTGTCCACCTCACTTCACATGTGGCCCAAGCTGGGGGACTCCCAGCCGAGCTCAGGCTCCAGCCAGGTCTGCCAGCGTCTCCCATTGCTACGTGGGCAGGAGGGGCCCAGAAGAGCAAGGAACCACACGGGTCTTGGTCAGAATCTCCCCTGTCACGGAGCCCTACGTGTCAAAGGAAAGGACAGGGTCCCAGATACAGCTCTAAGCATGCCTGGGTGGGCCTGGGGAACCAGGAAGGATCCCTGAGCTGTGCTCTATGCTTCACCCGAACTTTCCAGGGCCCAGCAGGGGGACCATTCCAGCCCCTCACCCAGGGGCTCTGTCCAACTGATGCAGAGCCTCACCCTCGGGCCTCAGGCACGAAATACGTGCAAACCCTAGCTTCCTCCTCCTCCTCTTCCCTGCCAAGCCTGCTCTTCCCCCACTGTTGGCAGTGGCCCCTGAACACACACCATCCACCTTGCTACAAGTAGTCGGGCACCTAGGAGGCACCCAGACTCCCCTCATGTCCTCCAGTCTCTGCCCAGGTCCTGTCGGGGCTACACCCACACTTCTCGCCAACCCCACACTGCCCAGAGTCCCTGCCTGCCAATGCCCACAGCCATGGCTGCTAGATGCTGCACACCCCACTTTTCCTACTGGGGAGACAATACAGAATGGGGGTTCCGGGCACATGCTCTGGAGTCAGGCTACCTGGACAAGAATTCCAGTTCTATGCTTTTTAGCTGCGTGATCTGTTTTAATTTCCAGCTTCATAGGGCTGTTGTGAAGTTTAAATGAAATAATCCATGGAGAACACGTATCACAGTGTCTAACACACAAGAGGCACATAACTTGATTAACAAAATAGTGATAATAATAGGGTCATGTGAGGTGTACGTGAGGTCATGTGGTACGTGGCTAGGCCAGGCAGCAAGGGCTCAGTACACGTGAGCTGTCACCACTGGTTCAAGCTCCCCTTGGGCGTCCACGGCTGGAGCAAGCCCCTGGCTCTCATCTTGCCCCCACCCCCAGCTGCCTTCTGTTTGAGGCCATTCACCCCACAACAGCCAGAAGGATGTTGGTCTAAAACATAAATTCAACAATGTCCCTGTTTATCCCAACACTTTCTGGGCAACCCCTACACACACACACACCCACACACACTCACACACACACACACCCACACACACTGATGCCCAGCCCCCATGCCCAGCCCTTGGGCTCCTCCCTCCCCACCCCTTGTTGAAAACCACCCCATCACCTCCATGGGGAACTGAACTTGCTTCTCAGCACCTGACACTCTCTTCATCATCCCAGGCATCCCGAGGAAGGGCCAGCTCCCACCCCTTCACTCCCCTCCTGGTTAAGTCTCTCCCCATTGCTTCTCTCTCTTCCCTACAGCTAACCAAATATGGAAGAGTAATGTATTTTGTGGGGCTTGTTAACCAAACATGATGTGAGGACCTCTGTTTCTAGGCAAAAGCAGGAGAGTTCAAATGTCTGCCTTTTTCAAGAAGCCCCAAGGCTGCTTGGTGCCTCTAGGGGCTGAATCCAGTCTTTCCAGCCTCAGTGGCCAAAAACCAAGACCCCAATCTTTGCGTACCATGGCCCTTCCCAGCTAGGGGCACAGCCTGCCCCAAGACCACCACCACCACTCCCCGACCCCCAGGGCTGCCCCTAAGGAGAAGGGGACTTCTGCTCCCTGGGGGAGGCTCCCTTACATAGAAATTCAACTTCTTTGGGCTGGCAACCCCATGCCTGGGGCACATGGGTGATGGGGTCTGAGAAGCCACAGTGAAGGGCAAGGAGAAAACCTGACCCAACCCGCATGGAATCCACCCCCTCCCTCCGCCACTATGACCTTTGCCTGGGAAGCCCCCCCACACTTACATATTTAAGGAAGAGGTGAAGCTCCCGGTGATCTTGGGGGTTGATCGTGGCCTGGAAAAGGGGCAAGAAGATGTTCTCCAGCATCTTCCCAAAGCTTGGCAGCAGCTTCCTGGACCTAAATATGTCACTGGGGGTAGCAAAGACTTGCTTATTAGGTGGGCCTATCAGCCCCCTTGCCCTGGTGGAGGTCAGTCCCAGTCTCTTCCTCAGGCAGCCCGCGTCCCCATCAAACGCCCAGAGGAGAGTCCCACATGGCCTGAATACAGATCCCTTCTTTCCACCCACTCCCAGCAGCGTCAGAATCCTAGGCTCTGGTTTGCAAACTCGCCACCCGCCCACCTATGAGAGCACTTTCTCAAACAGAGGCCGTTCTGGGAGAAAGGTGGTGGGATTCAGGCTGACCAAGGGGCAGAGAGATGAGTCCTCAAATTCCCAGTGATGCAAACTCTCTGCCACTCGACTGTTTCCGTAAACCACACACCCCAGCCCATCCCGGGGCCGTGAGCCCCACACTGGCCAGCCACCTGGAGAGGACAGCGGAGGTGTGAGTGATACCAGGGAGAGGGCCAGCAATGTAGGCCACTGCCAGGTCACCCCCTACCCTGGCCTCAACAGAAGGGCAATCCATCCTCAACCCTCAATGAGAAGAAGTTCCCCAAGGACTCTGCCCATATATATTTTTCAAAGAATAAGGGTTAAGTGTCATGAGGACATCTTTGTCAATCACTCCTTCTTGTGGAAAAACCCCTGGAAGGAACCAGGCTGAGCTGACGCCAGAATAGGCCCTACCCCTCAATAGTGCAGTCTCAGCAGCCCATGTGGGACAGGGTGTCATCTTTGGAGGGCACAGGGCACAGAGCAGGGCCACCTCACTTACTAGATCCGAGGCACCTGAATGATCCAGCGCATGTTGGGCGAGTAGACCTTGTGCTGGATGAACCAGCGGGCCAGGCTGGTCCACTCCTCAGGACTGCGGCCGTAGATGGACAGCCGTGGCTCTGAATACTGGTACTTGCTGTCCTCCAGCTCCCGCGCCACCTCCTGGCACCAAGAAGAGTTTGGGTCAGCCCAAGAGCATCCCAGTCACACGGGAGACCCCCACCCCTTCCCCCCTGTCACTGGCCAGATCCTGCAGCTCCCTCAGCTCCCAGGCTAGAAGGTCAGATCTAAGTCCCCAGTGCTGCCCGCTGCCTGTGAGCACTCGCTCTGCTGTAGCAGAGGCTCCCCTGGGCAGGGAGGCCTTGGGTCAGCACCGCAATGCTGCCGGCAGCAGAAGCATCTCCACACAGAGCTAACCTGCACCCAGCCAAGTTCAGGCTGCAGAGAGACACAGCAGCCGGCCCAGGTGCTGTGACCTTGGCCAGGGGGGATGCTCTCCCCTCCTCTTCCCTGCAGTTGGCACACGCAGCACTGCCTGCCTGCACTCTGGCACTGGGCGCCTGGGCACCTTGGCCCCTGCCTGAGCCGATGCTGGACAGAGGGAGGGGAAGGAGACAGGAGGCCACGCAGGACCCCTACCCTCCGTAGGCAGATGCCGTTGGGTATCTGGGAGGCCTTGGAGAGGCTGAGGGCTCACTCACCTTGACCATCCTAGCCAAGTACTCTCCTCCCAGGTAGTTTTCAGTTTTCAAATACAGGTCACGCAGCTCACTGGCCCCCACAGGGTTGTATTTGGAGTTGAACTTGTCAAAGCGGTGGAACGTCTGCCGGCCCTGGGGGGAGGAGAACACCCCCAGGTCACCACGTCGTTCTGCAGCTACCACACACATTCTCCCCTCCAGGCCTTTACGAGGTGGCCTTCTGTGGGGCCACAGTGGAACCTGTCTTCCACGTCACTCGTTTCTTGCATGAAATCTTGGCCACTCCCGAGGGCCTGGACCATGGATCTACACTTGGTCAGCACAGGGTCCTTTTATGAGGCCCTCTGTGAAGGAGCGGCAAGGACCTCATGCTCCCAGGTGCCACAGCCAGGGACAGGGCTGGCTTAGGAGCAGAGGACGCCAGACTGTTGAACAGTCAATAATAAAGTGTTCCCTATGACTGCTCAGACTTTGTAAAGCACTTTCTCCATACTATATCATTCGATATTTTGTTTGTTTTTTTAACAAGGATTTTTAGTGTGGCAAAACATATGTAACACAAAATTTACCATTTTAATCATTTTTAATTGTACAGTCCAGTGGCATTAAGTACATTCACACTGCTGTGCAACCATCAGCTCCATCTATCTCCAGAACTTTTTCCTTGTCCCAAACTGTGTACCCATTAAACACTAACTCCCCTTTCCTTCCTCGCCCCAGCTCCTGGTAACCTCTATTCTCCTTCCCGTTTCTGTGAATTTGCCTACTCTAGATACCTCATGTAAGCGGAATGATATTTGGCCCGATGTGTCTGGCTGAATAACATTCCGTGGCACGGATATACCGCATTTTGTTTACCACTCATCTCCTGATGGGCTCGGCTCGCTTCCCCCTTCTGGCTGTTGTGAATGAAGCTGCTGAGAACATGGTGTGCAGGTATCTGTTCTAGTCCCTGCTTTCAATTCTTGTGGGTATACTCCTAGGAGTGGAATTGCTGGAGCTCACGCCAATTCTATACTTAACCTTTTTAGGAACCACCCTACTGTTTTCCACAGCAGATGCACCATCATTTAGTGTTTTAATAACTTTGTAAAGTTAGTAAAGCACATGGCAATCACCATTTTATAGGCAAGGAAATAAACGCTTAAGTGAGTTGCCTAAGGGCACAACACTCCTGAGTGGTAGGAGTGGGATTAGTACTGAGGCCCGTCTGACCCCAAGTCGCACGTGCTTTTCCCGTCCCATGGCCACCCCAGAGGCCACGTGACCTCTCACAGCCTCCACGGTTGGAAGAGAAAGCGCTGCCTCCACAGCCAGCCTCCCTCCAATCACGGTCCTGCGACTTTCAGGGGGCTGAGTCTGCAGTCAGGGCTGCTTTCTGATTGCAGCTCCGGGGCGGAAACTCACTCACCGCATGGACGTCCAGCGAGTCCACAGTGAGGTCGTAGGGGTCCATGTGCAGGCTGTCAAACACCTGCTGCAGGGAGATCTTCCGGCCCTGCTTCTCGGCCACAATCCTGTCGGGCTCTGTCTGGTACGTGTGCTTGATAAAGCGCAGCAAATGCTTCTGGTTCATGCAGGCAGCCGCGTGGATGTGCGTGTCCACCTGGAACACAGCACCCACCAGCCCGTGAGCCAGGCCACCTCCCCTGGTAACAAAAGTTAGGACATCCAACCCTCAGTGTGGAGCACAGAGCCTCAGCACCTCACAGGCCGCAGCAGCAGCCTCACCAATGCCAGGATCCCTCTCCCGTCCTCCACTGGGCTGTGGAACTGGTGTCCCTCCCTTCTGCCTTGCTGCCCAATCCACCTTACAGCACCCAGAGATCTTTTTAAAATGTAGATTGGATCAGGCTACTCCCTTGTTAACAAACCATGAATGGCCCCCCTCAGCCTCAAGATAAAGCCCGAGGGCTTTAGCCTGGGGCTCAAAGCTTACTTCAAGTCTTGCCTCTCACCTTGCCACTGCCCCTTTCTGTGCTCCAGCCACGACCAGCCATTTACAGGTGCTCAAGGCACGCACCATATCACTTCGCCCATGTGTCTCAGCCTGGAGTGCCTTCCTTCCTCCCCACCAATTTCATGCACCTGGAAATTCCCACAGCCTCCTCCATCTGGAAGCCAGCCCTGATCCCCCAAGCACAACTGATCACTCCTTCCCTTGCCCAACCTGCAAACCTAGTACACACATCCATTGCTGTACATGTCCTCCTGAGCCACTCTAATATTTTTCTGTCTACACCTTCACTAGACTGGGAGCTCCTCAAGGACAAGGACAGTGTTTGATGCATCTAAAGTATCCAGCACCTACCCCAGAGCCTGGTTCGAAGTATTAGTAGAATCAATGGATGTAGGAACAAATGAACAAGTGTGATGGTTCTAATGGTTTCAATGATAACCCTGAGGAGCCACCAAATGTGCCACAAAATCCCACTCTTCCCATTGACTGCTCAGACCCGCAGGGCATTCCCAGAGCAAACCTCCACGTGGGGGTGAGTGAGGAGGACAGGCACCCGGGGCCAGCCCCCACCACGCCATTTCCTTGGCGAGTTACACTTCCCCTAAACCCCAGGGCATCTAAACCCCAAGAAGCAGCAGCTCTACAGACCCTAGGCCAACACATGGACTCAGGCTGCGGGGCCCAAGGCCAAAGATCATATAGCAAATCCTGAAGAGCAGAAATGCACAGGGAGCTTGGACTTCTCCCCACGTTGCATGGAAAGGCAGCTTCCTTGCAGAAGGCACCAGGCAGGATCTCAAAATACCTCATGGGATTTCTCATGTCCTCTGTATTGTGCTAAGTCCTGTGACACCAAACTGTCCTCTTGCATTTCTGGCCTCTCCTTTTCAACCTCTTCAGTCTTTTCATCCTCACTCCCAGACCTCTCAGTATTGGAATTTCTTCAGGCCTGGTCCTGGGCCCTCTTATCCTCTCACTGCACACTCCCTATAATATGGTGATCGGATTCATTTCTGTGCATTTAATTAACTTCTTTATACCAACTCCCAAGTCTGTATCACCAGCCACAAGCTCCAGAATTATAAATATTAATACAATTGCCTATTTGACATTTCCACTTGGATAACACAAAGGCAGTTCAAATTCAATATATCTAAAACTAGACTCTCCGTCTCTGGCGCCAGCCCAAACCTGGTAGTCTCCCAGGTTTCCGAATTCCAGGAAATGGTGTGTCCCACACCGAGCTACTCATGCTGGAAAACTGGAGTCATCCTTGGCCTTCCCATCTCCCCTCCCTCAACACCAGCCAGTCCCATCAGTTCTACCTTCCAAGTAGATCTTAAATCCGTAAGACGCTCCACCTTCACCATCCCCACGTGAGTCCCAGTCTGCGTGCTCTCTCACCTGGATTCACGGCAACCCCTAACTGGTCTTGCCCCTGTTCCTCCTGCTCTGGTTCAATTCATCCCCCACACCCAGAAGCTAGAATGGACTTTTTAAATGTGATTTTATTCTGTTATGAGCTATTCTTCATTAATCTTAGAATGAGGGCCCTGCTAATATTACCTGGCCCCTACCTATTTCCCCACCCTTCATCCCTACTCTCTCTTTTTCACTGTGCCTCTCTCATAGGACAGCCCTAAAGAAATGAAGCCCCAGTCAAGCTGATGGATGGCCTGAAGCCACAGTGGGCATCAAGACTCCACTTGCATGAGCCCAGGGGGCTACAGGAGGTCCCCAAGGAAGGAGACAGCAGCCTCACAGGCCAAGGTGCTGCCAGCCACCAGACAATACTCTGGGGTCACTGCTGCGGCTGCCTGGGCACTCTGCCAGGGCTGGGGTGAGGTGGGGGCTGACCTCGGGGCAGAGAATGCTGTCCACAGCTGGCTGGGCATCTCCGAGTCACGCCAAACCAGACATTTGATACGCTGGACCTCTGTGAGCATCATACCAGCCAGCCCATGTTGTTGGCCACATCACTCTCTCGTCAGGGTCCTTCCTGCCATTAATCCTGCCACTTCTGCCAGAAAGACAGACCACTAGATATCACAGAATTAAAACATTCAAAACACCAAAAACTAAGACATCACCGAAGCACGGTGTAAAGGCTCAGGCCCCTCTGGGACGAGGCTGGGCTCATGTGGGACGCGCAAGAGGTCAGCCTGGCTTAGCTCAGCTGGACGCAGCTTGGCGTAACTACCTCAGCATGACTCAGCACATTCTGGGCTTCCTGGCTGTGTCCTCCAGGCTTACCAATGACACACCACAGGGGGTTCAGCCTGTCCTCACCCCCATGAGTCACAAGATAAAGGAGGAAAACAACTGGACAATCCACGAAGCACCCAATCCAAACTTCAGAATCTCTAAAGTGATTATTTTAGGAACAAGCAAAAGAAGCTGTCAGTAGAGGGCAGTGTTTTCAACTCACCAGAGGATCCTAGCGCATTCCCTGCTTTTCACCTAAGATCCAGGTCTAAACAGAGTTTCCGAACAGGGTTGGCCAACACCTGGAGCTAAGCCACTGCTGACCATTTCTGTACCCACGGCAGACATTAGCAATCGATTACAGCACTCTTTTCACTAAGCTTCAGGAGTAGCCTCAGGTAGCCACTCCCAGTTGGTTAGGTTTCGCACAGAAGATGAAAACCATTTGCTATCCTTGATGTGATACTTAAACCAAAGTAGATTATCCCTACTTCTACCCAACTCCCAAGCAGCAAACACACTTATTATTAGCCTTTGCATCATAGCTCTGAATAGAAAAGAAGTGTCTCAGTTCCACAGTCCCGCTGGTTGGACCTCATGGTATTGTAGTTCGTCACCTTCGACGACACTGCAGGTGCTTTCACAGGTACCACCCACCCAGACCCATGGCCACGCACAGCTCCTGCCCTCAGAGCACAGCCCTGGCCTGTCCCTGGGACATGACAGCCTCTTCAGACACACAGAGGCCACCCTTCCAGCCCATTCTGGATTTCAGAAAGCCAGCTCCCCTCCCCACAGGAGAGGCTGTGAGGGCAATATAAAGCAGCCAGCATGCAGGGGCAGCCCGCGCCCCCACCCAGGAGGAGCGAGCACAGGCCTGACTCACAGCAGACCTGGACCCAGGTTTATGAACTGACTGGTGCCAGAGAATAGGCCACTGTGTCACAGCACAAGTGCCAAGGACATCTCTTTCCAGAGAGCACATTAACCTCCAGACTGACAGGGAACCCTCAGGACTGGCTCTGAGAATGCAGTCACAGCCCCATGCCAGGACTCTGTCCCACACTGTGGCCAGAGAGCAGCTGGTAGGCCCAGCAATACCCGGAAGCAAACAGTGCCAGAGCCAGCCCCATCAGCAAGGACCTTTGTCCTAGGTAGCAGGAAGCAGGCAGGCCCAGAGCATTCACGTATGCAGAGGGCAGGGCTACACTGAGCAGGGCGAAGAGTTCCCTTGGACACCTGCTTGGGCACGTGGGATGCTTTGGGCAGGGCTGACAGGAGTTCACATAGTGACTGAGGCACCCACCTGTCTGAACACCTAAGGCTCACAGAGAAGGAACACAGGGTACTTTAAGGTGAAAATGCCAGGCTGCCCAGGTAGGTGGTGTCTACCACATGACCTTTCACCTCTGCCTGGAAGTCCCCATGACACTTCCATAAGCAACTTAGAGCCCATGAGCTGAAGCTAAACTCTCACATCTTAAAGCTCCTGATCCCATCCAAGTAGGAGTCCACATATGGCCGCCGGGCATATAACAGAGGTGACCGCAGGACTTCCCTGGAGGGGGCCTTCTACCTGCACTGCTGAGTGCTCCCAGCTATGAGGTCAGGGAGGCTCGAGCTGGGCTTTTGAGAGGGGCCACATCCTCCCTTGACCCACCCTCCCTTATCAAACTCACCCCATGAAGGGGCAGCCCTCAAGAGGTCCCAGCTGGGATGGAAGCTCCTGTGGAGATGACAACCCCACTGTGACTCAACTCAGATTTGGTCACCCCTCCTCCAAGCAAAGCCTGATCCTCACCCTTCCCCCATGAGCTTCTCTCCCAGCTCCCTGCCTTCTCTAGAAACCCACGGCCCCACGTGATCCAGAGCCTCCCACAGCCCACCGCTGCCCTCTCCCACCACCTGAGCTCCAGCCACACTGCACTCCTTGCAGTCACATTAGCGCACTGTTCAGACTCTCTCTCCCTTCTCTCGTGCCACTCTCCCTCCTGGCATCTGCTCAGGCACGTTATCTTGTGCCCTCCTCCTGGAATGCCACCACTTCCACTTCCCTCCCCCACCCTCTGCCTGGCTAACTCCTATTCTCTAAGTCAGCTCAGATCGGCCTGTCCCTGAAAGCCACCCCATTGCAACACTTATTGCTGAAGTAATAGGCTGGGGATTTCTTGTCAACAGGAAGCGTCTCTTGCTCACCATCAAACACCCCACGCTTAGCAGTGACCTGGGGCCTCACCGTGTATTGCTTCCATGGCAGAGAATGGACACACTGGAGGCCACGACATTTAACCTTCACACCTGCCCCTGCTGTAGCCCCTGCAGGCTGAGGCTGCCAGGGGCCCAGGCCAAAGCTACCTCAATGGGTAAAGAGGGGCAGAGATCTGAGCAAGTTGAAGGCTTTTCTTTAAATCCACATGATCCTGAAGGATGTAAAACCATGAACTCCCAAGTCCAAAGAGGTCTTAATAGCTTCTACTCTCCATGATGAATCTAATACATCCCCTACCCTAAAAGTAGCCTGTGCTCAACTTTTATGACCAATTAACAGGATACACCCTATTTTCCAAGGAGGAGGGTACATTCCAACAGATACACAGTGTGGACAAAGGTTTCTACCTAGAGTGACGTAAGTATGATCTAAGGCAGTCTGACTCAGCAAAGGCAGATGTCCAATCCTCCTTCTGCATATACACGTCATACCTCTCTGGCCAAGGAAGGCTGCCTTTGCTGGGAGCCCTGACGTTGGCATGGGGAACTAGCCCTAAACTGGCTCAGAGCGTCCCATGGGCTGGGAGGGGGACAGGACGGGGCTGGGGCTGGGAGGAGCAGCTCTGAATGCTGGCTGCTCACGCACCTTTCTCACGTTGTAGAAGTCCCGGTGGGGGTTACTCTTCAACTCTTTGAACTCGGACATTTCATTTAACATCTCATGAAGGCTGAACTTGGATTCCAGAAAGTTCAGTCGCCGGTGACAATAGGTCTTCCTGCAGTTTGGAGAGGGGGACAAACCACAATTGAGCAGAAGTCACATCAAGCTTTCCAGTTTGGAGCCCTGCAGCCTCTATGGGGACCAGCCCTCAGGTGGAAGGGGCAGGGCTCTGGCAGGATAGAGCAGGAAGGGGTAAGGGGGGGCCCGCTTTCTACAGACCCCCTGGACTGTCCACATCCTTGGACTCTATAAAGTGAGGGGAGAATCAAGACCTCCACCAGGTTCTTTGACTTCTAGCTTTAATTGTTTAGGCAATTAACTGAGAGCCTCCCTTTCCCATGAGCAAATACCAGATGATAACATTCAAGACTGAAGTGAGGGTTAAATTGGTTTATGCCTGTGAAAGGGCCTGGCTCTGAGCAGTGGATCCCAACAAAAGTCTCCCTCCCACAGCTCCTCCTTTCTTTCCTTCCATCCATCCTCAGCTGCCTTTCATTCCTTGAAGAAGGAATCAATGCCCAGAAGATTGATAATACAGTCAAACTACAAGGCATGACCTGCCCACCTTGGGATGAAGCGGTACCACCCCCTGACCAAATGGCCATATCGCAAATCCCAAGACCCAAGGACCTCCCAAATCTGGGGCTCCATGACAAGAGGTGGATGTTTTGCATCATGGGCAGATTGGGAATACAGGGGTGTTGTTCCTGGACAGGAACCTCTGTAAGGTCTAATACCCCAGATTCCCACCAAACTAGAGAAGGGGGCCCCAGGTAGGGAGAGTTCTCAGCTGGCAAACACTGTTGGGGTAGGGGTCTCCACTGCCAGCCCAAGGTGCCTGGCCACATGCCGCATCCCCAGCCACATGGAACCTTCCACCACCATTCATGCTACCCTCAAACCAACAGCAGCTCCCTTTGCATCCAATAATCACTTAGACTTCCATAAGAGCAGCTGCCGACCGTGCAACAGGGAGATCGCCTATTTGCCAAGACAAGCCCCAGAGCGGAGCACAGGAGAGCCTCAGAGTCCGAAGGGAGCTTGAAGGTCACCTCAGCCAGTCTCTCTCCTCAGGCAGGACCAGCCACAGCTCACACACCTGGCTGAGGAGGGTCTCCTGGGAACTGTCCCCTCCCCTTCCCTAGTCTTCATTCTGGCCTCCGATCAGTGAGGACCAAGAGCCGTGCTGCCCGCCCAACTCGGGCCACTCTCCTCTCTTGGGGACTGGCATCACACCATTCCCACCGAAACCACAGAGAAGGTCCTCAGGCGCCACCCTCACCCGCCTCCTCGCCCCAACTGCCTCTCCTAGCACAGCCACTCCAGGGCTCTCAGGGTCCCAGCATGCTGACCTCTGTCACTGATTAGCCTGACTGCCCACCAAGAAGGGGGCAAAATTGGAAAGATAATTGCCTGCTGGAGCTGGAGCCAGGCCCACGAGCACCATGGGGGTCATGGCATGAAGTTTCCCAAGCTCCCTGCAAGCTCCCCCCAGAAACACAGAAAACCCAAGGCCTGAAGCAACAGTCTTCATCACTCCTCACCAAGTACGGTCATGCCCTGGGCTGGTAACTCTCTGCAGGGCTGTTGTCCTGCCTGGGAAGAGCAGGGGCAGCCATTTTAAGGTGCACAGGTGGCGACCAGCAAACAGAAGCTCCACATCTATGCATGCAGAAGGGACAGGTAGCAACAACTCTAAGAATGTGCCAGCTTGTGAAGGGAGATGGTTGCAGAAACCCACGAAGTACTGAGGAAAGGGGAAAGCACTCTCTTTCTGGGAAGGTTTAAGTGCAGGGAAGCCCAGGGCAGAGGGGTGACCTGGTTGGTCTTGCCCATGCAGAATAGCGCCCATGCTGAGAGGCGGCCCCGGGGGAAGCTGGCTTACGTGGGGCCATCAGTGATGAGAGCCAGGATGTGGCTCATGTCTACCGTGTAGGTCTCCAGGTCAGGGTAGGGCAGGCTGTGGGGCTCCTGGCACTCCAGCATCTTCTTGTTATCATACACAAAGAGGATGCCCCCTTGCATGCGGACCAGGTAGCCCAGGTTGGGGGGCGCATCATCCAGGCAGTAAGGGTCTTCCTGGGGCAGCGGGGGCGGGTGGAAGTCTGCAAAACAGGATTGAGGGATGACAAAGCGCCCCTGACTTTATGAGCGTGCATGGGATCAAAAGACACTGAGGCCTGTCTGGCCATCCTGCCTAAAACCCAACCACCCTCAACTGCCCCCACGTCTTCCCTGCTTTATTTTGTCTCCTTAGCACTCACCACCGTGTAAAATAATTTCACTTCTTTATCTTGGGTATAGTATGTCTTCTCTACTCAAATAGAAGCTCCATGTGACAGACTGGTTCACTGCTATGTCCCCACTACCTAGGACAGTCCCTGGCACACGGCTGGCACTTCAACAAATCTTTTAAATTTAATGGAAATGGGCTTCAGTTTCCTTGGCACTTCAGAGACCCCAGGAATGTTTTAAAGGGCAGCTGTGTCTTCTCTCAGTAAGAGAACAGACAGCACCCGGGACTCCCCACGGGGAATAATTATCTCCGTCCTCAGCTGCGAGGGGCTAGATGAAGAAGCCACCCCCTCCAGAGCAGCAGCAGATAGGGAACCTGTCTCCTACAGAGCAGGGAATGCCAGTGACAAAGCGGCCAACAGGAGGCAGAAAACGCCTCTTTGCTACTTCCCAACTGCGAGACTTTGAGCAAACCCCCTTACCTCTCTGATCCTGTCTCCTCATCTGAGGATAACACCCCCTCCCTAACAGGCTGTTGTGGGGGCTGCAATGGTGTGTATAGAACAATTCTTTGTAAACAATAATGCACTACACGTGATGAATTATAGGGCATTATTCTCACAGGGAGTTTTCCTGACTCCTGATAAAGTGTCTCTGGCCAAGGAACAGGCTGTTGCAAGCCAGCAGTAGAGCGGAGCCTTCCACTCTCTGCGGATCAGCCAGCACCACACAGAACCAGCTGCCCAGCTGCCAACCTAGGCAGGAGCAAACCCTGGGATCCTCATCAACGGAAGCCGCCAAGGTGGGGTAACCTGCCTGGGTGTTCTCCATCAGTGCTTGGAAGGGACAGCCCGTCCCTAGAGCAAACATGAGGTGTCACAGAGGAGTCGAAGCAGAGCAGAGCTAGAGACCAGTGTCCCCCCTCAGGCACCATCACAGGGTTTGCACGATCTGTGAGATGCACATGGCTACAAGGCCCTGCTGAAGCTACAGCCTGCATGCTCAGAGGTTGCTTCCCCTCACTGCACTCATGCCCAGGACCCTGGGGGCCTCTGTCCACACGAAGTACATGTTTGACAGTCACTCCTGTCTGTCCTTGCCAAAACTGGGGTGGTGGGATCCACTTCCCTCAAACAGGGAAATGGGCCCAAAGGGCTGAGATTTACCCAGGGCCCCAGGTAGTAAGTGCAGGACTCGAGCTTCAAAGAAGCCAGAGACAGGACAACTTGGCACCACCAGCTACACCAGGGGCAGCAGGGTCCTGCCATTGGTGCAGACCACCAAGCTCTCATCTGCTGCCCACCACCAACTTTCGGGAGTGAGGTTTCCTGTCCTCATTTATATTACTTAATGTACAGCCTCTACTGCCCCTAGGTCCTTCACAGGCCAAACACACTTCACCAGGAAACCAACCAGCCCTCTCTGATCTCCCTTCCCTTCCGTTTATACCAGAACTGCACTAAGTACTGCACATGCATACTCCTGTGTAATCCTCACAACAGCCCTGGAACATAGATATTATTAGTATTTCCATTTTATAGATTGAGAAACTGAGGTTTGGAGAAATATCTTGCCCAACATCCCAAGAAACTGGCAGAGCTTAGATACAAACGCAGGTGTGTTTGGCGCCAGAGCCTATTTCCCCTGCCCCGGGAACGTGCCCTCTGTACCTATTCCCACCCTACCACCAACTTGGCTCCTGTTGCCCGACTGTGTTCTTTGAAATACCCCACGTGAGACTGCCTGTCTCCCTGGCAGACGCCCATGACCAAGGACTATCTTTCTTCTCTCTCTCTCAACTCCTACGGCTTAGCTCTCTGCCAGGGCTAGGCACACAGCACACCTTGAATCAGTCCTTGAGGGAACCAGCAAACATCGGTGTAGGAGAAGACAGTAAAAGGACTCTGCCCCTAAAACACCATCAGGGGAAGGGGAAATACATTGAGCCAACAAAAAGCCCTGACCAACTCTTGGTCCAGGCTGACACTTGGGACCCCATCTCCAGCAGAGCTTCATTCATACCTGGGAGGCCCTCTTCCAGAGGTGCCGTGTCGGCCCGCCAGTGTCCCAGGTACTGGGCCGTGGTCCTGGGGAAGCGGTGGTAGGCGAGCCGTGCATACTTCTCCCGGATCATTAGGGCCTTGGCCAGGCTCTTGGCGGCCTGCTCGTAGTCCTCCAAGGTGATCTGCAGAAGGGCGGCAGGCAGAGAAGTTCACACAGCGGGCCTGGGACCGCCATCCTCAGAAAGCTCTGCTTGCAAGCTGGCCCTTGGCTCGCAGCTGGGAACCTGGATTTCAGGAGGGTTTATCACCACTCCCTGACTAATGAGAGTCACCGAGACTAAACTGTTGGTATAAACAACATGGTTTACGTTGGACCCTTGCTTTGCTTTTAGGAGTCTGGAATTTGGGGACGTGCTCTGCAGGTATGTGACCAGCCCCAGTAAAAACCCTAGGCATTGAATCTCTAATGAGCTTCCCTGGTAGAAAACACTTCACAGGTGTGTCGTTACAATTGGATGCTGCAGGTATTAAGTACATTCTGGTGACTCCAGAGGGAGAGGACCCTTGGAAGCTTGCACCTGGTAGCCTCCACGTACCCTTTTTCCCTGTGCCGATTTCTCTGTATCCTTTCACTGCAATAAATCCCAGCTGTAAGTACAGCTCTATGCTGAGCCTGTGAGTCCTCCCAGAGAATCACCAAACCCGGGGGTGGTTTTGGGGATCCTCGACACAGGAGACACAGAAGGAAAGTTAGGGTTGCTGGGAAGGAGATGGGCACCCTGGCCCAGAGACTGGCCTCACATGCTGCTGATTAAACCACAGCCTGCTATTGCACCTGGCGCACGAGGAGACAAAGCCTGAATCCTATCCCTGAGAGGATGAGAACCATGATTTTCAGTAGAGAAAATTCACCTGTCCTTCAGATGTAACAAAACAGAACAACTGTGTGCTCAGCCTGCACTTTGCCAATCCCAGGCTTCTGATTAAATCTGGTGATCACCCAACTCCTCTGGTGGACAAGCCCTATTGTCAGGTGCTATATGCCAGACCTTTCCAGAGATTTCATTTTGCTCCTCACTGCAACCGATTTTACAAACTGGAAAACGGAGGCCCAGACAGCATAAGTCACTTGCCAGGAAGTTACAAAGTCAAACTTCACACTGTAATCTGATTGATTCCCAAAGCCCAAGGATGCTCTGCTTTCCCAGAGCTACCTTGTATTCAAAGATGAATGAGATAAATTCCACCTTCCAAACGGGCTCCTTAATCTTAGTCTGTTTGGGAAGGATGAGCGTGGAGAGACAGCAGCCAGACAGCCAGTCGTAATGGGGCTAAGCGAAGCAGCAGAGGGAGCTGCAACATGCAACATGCTGGCAAGGCACAGAGTGCGGAGGGCTGGGGCCTGGAAGTTTCCTCTGTTGCCTAATTGAAACAATCATTTTTAGTTTTGGAAGATTTTAACAGAGACAAGCACTGAATATAATATAACCTACCTTTCAGAGCTAACAATATTAATATTTTCATAATTGTTTCAGAATTCTCACAAGTTTAAGTAAATAAATCATCACAGATACAGCTATTAATAAAATCCTGCCCTCATCCCTCCCCCACCCTCCTCCATCCTCAGAGGGACGAAGTTGGTAAATACCTTTCTCATGCATGTTTTTATACTTTTACTAAATAGTACTCCTTGCTTTTTGTTAAGGTGGTAGGTTCTCCTTTCCTGCCTCTAAATGTCCCTATGAGGTGTGTTCATTTCATCTTACACCTTCCAGTGGACGGCTTCTGAGAACAGCAGGACTAGGGGAGCAGACACAAACACTCCAGACAAAAATATGTCCTTGCCAACGACAAAGCCAAATATTTTCTCTGTAGAATCAACGGACTCATCATGACAAAGGGCTCAGGCCATGGCTAAGGATATCAGAGAAGGTGCTCAGGATCCCAGTGGACCAGTGGCCACCAGCCAAGCCTGTAGGCATTGCAGGCCTCACGGCTGGCAGCAGACCCACTGGGTGCCAAGGAGATCGTCAAGGTAACCTACTTCTTGTGAACACTTAGCTCTCTGGAGACCAATTGCCTAGTTTGGGGGCTCCGTGCCCTACTATGTGCCAGGAGACTGGTAGAAAGAAGCTAGTTAATGGTCTAAACTGGTGTCCTCCCATTCAGCTGATGCTCAACCCACCTCAATTCTTCCTTTCCACTGCTCTACCCACATGCCTGAGGCTGGGTGCACACCAGACTCTTGGTCAGGGTGCTGATCTTCAGACAAGGGCTGCATTGTTTCCAAGTCAACCTGAATTCCCACCCATAGGAACTTCATTAAAATAAATGATGGTACATCCACACAGTGGACTACTATGCACTTGTAAAAGAAGGATGAGGAAGTTCTTTTTATATTGCTATGGCATTATCTCTAAGATGTACTGTTAAGTGAGAAAGCAAGGTGCAGTACAATGTGTGTAGTAAACTACCATTTGTGTAAAATGTGTGCATAATTAATTGTAGGTACACGGACATCTATGTGAGAATACACAAGAAACCAAAGCCAGTGTTTGCCTCTGAGGAGGGGAATGGGTGGCTTGAGGATTGATACCATTTTTGTGCCATATGCAAGTATTCTTTATCGCAAAAAAAATACTTTTTAAAGTTGGTGGCAATTTTATAGGAAGAGCAATAAACTACTTTGCCTTCTGAGATTCATTGTACATCCTACAGCTGCTGCTAAAAAGAAGAGACTAACAAAGCCAACTGGAACATGAGTAGTGGGTCGGGCCAGGAAGACAGAGCCAAACTTAACGCTGGCACTAACTCAGCGATGTTTCTCTCCAAGAAGTAAGCATTCATGAAAAGGACTCATCCGATCAGGTGAGACTGGCACATTTTCAGTGGCTGACTTAACTGACCAGGTGTAGAGCAAGCTTGTTCACTTTCCAAACAAGACCCCCTCTCCCTGGGTGTGGGGTCTAGCCTGTATTCAAGGCACTGAAACTAAGCAGTAAGATGAGCTGAAGCAGCAATGACTAACGTCACACAACCAGCCGGTACCATGACTTTGAATCTATTAAACATGTGGGAACACAATAGGGCCCAAGCTGGCAGCTTTCTCAACAGGGTATGGGGACAGAGGGCAGGCAGCATTATAGACCTAGAGGACATATGGAACTTACAGGCCACAGCCACCAAGTGCCAGCCTGCAGCCAGGGCCCTCCTCACAGGGTCGGGGCGGCCCCCAGACACGCCCACACCCACAACCTCTGCTAGGACCCTCCTTCTCTTTGAATGCCTGTGCCTCCTCTCCACCACCAGCCAGACACCCATAGACTGGGTCACGCTTCAGGGGTGGGCATGACCCCAACAGCCCACAGGGCCCCTGGCCTCTGCACACAAGGCACATACAACACTCCCACAGGCACCTTACCCCAGCACAGTAATCTCCGCTGATGGTGACCCGCTGGAACTCGGGCATGGCATAGGGTGCTGGCGTGGGCTGGGACGTGGCTCCCACAAGCACAGGGGTTGTGGGAGACAAGGCCGGACTGGCTGTCGGGGGGCCCTTCCAATCTTGCTGTGTCGGCATTTGCAGAGACAGGGACTGGGACCGAATCATCTTGAAACTTTTCTTTCTAAGAGCCAAGGACAAGGAAAAGTGGGAGACATCAGCAGCTGATTGGGGTGAATGATAAAGTCTGAGTTATGTACATGGCTGTGATTAATCCCTGGTGCTGGCCCTACCATTAAGAAGTTTCTAATTATTTGTGCCTTCCTCTTACATACATCTCTCTGCATGAGACACAGCACAGCCCTCCCAACACCCCGACCTGCAGTTACTACTGCTGTGGGCTGTGTTTGCACAGCACACAGAGCACTAGGGTAGGCAAATGCCACAGGAGACTGACAGACAGACAGCAGACCACACTGCAAGGGCTCTAACACCCAGGGCTTGAGAGGTGAGGCCGACATCAAATCAACCAGACTTTCCCTGAAGTGTGGACAGCATGCTGTCTTCAGATAACCCAAACTCTAAGTCTCCAATTTGAACAGTCTCAGGAAGTACTATGAATAGAAAGATAATCACAGAGAGATAATCACACTGCATTTCACAGTTAGAAATTTGGGGCAGAAGAGACAGGGATGCTCAACTAGTCCAATCTCCTCATTTTATAAAAAGAGTCAGAGGCCCAGAGACAGGAAAGGGCTTGCAGAGTCATGCAGCAGGGTGGCCACTGTACCCAGCCACCACCTCTGCTGCCCCCTCCGCAAGCCTGGCATTGCCACCCTGGCTGCTGCTGCTGCTGGAGCAGGCCCAGATCTGTGCCTCTGTTATGGGAAAAGGATTGATCAGCATCAATTTCAGGTCCCTCTGGACCTGTCACCTGGGCACCAAAAGATGCTTTCACTGACTCTGGGCCCCAAGGTTGGTTTAAAATGCCACAAGCTCATGCTTATTTGCAAGGCTGATTTGTGATGACTCCACCTTCCTCATTAACGTGATAGTAATGCTTCCGATGACACCACCGCAAGTCCAGGAAGCCCTAGGAAGAGAACGACCCAGCAGGAAGGTGAAGCCATCCGCACTCCCCATCCACGTGTTCCTTTCTGCCTCCAGTGGAACCCGGTCTCCCTGCGTTGCCACCCCATAGCGTCCAATGCAGAAACTAGCTGACTACGTGCCCTACCTTGTGCCACAGGGACAGAGCAGTTTCCTGGGTGTTTATTCCACCACAACCAGGACCTACAGCCACCGGCAAAGGACTCAGTGACAACTGTGACCCACCAGAGCCCATGGAACCCCTCCTCTTCTCCAGGCATCAGTGACACCTACAGAGGTGCAGAAATCGGTTGATCCCCAAGTGGGCTCCATGGCTCACCCGGAAGCAGCTGCCTTCCTCTTGGCTGTTGGCCAGGTCTGTCTCTGTCGATTTTTCAAGAACCACAGTTCTTCTCTCCTATTTATACGCCCACCACCTGCCATGGTCCTCTGGTTCTTACCAGCTTGGCCTGTGTTATCACCTCTCTGGGGCGAGGCTGCTTACACCTGGAAGATGGAGGTGGCCTTTTCAGGAGCTTACCTTTGCCCTGCCCCTGCCCCTGCATAAGAGATGCATTGGGCTGCTTCGGGAAACACCACTTGAGCTCTGGGAGCTCCCACCCCCAGCTTTCCTGGGCCTGCCATCCATCACGTGGAGCTGAGCCAAGCATCCCGCTCCAAGGAAGATGCCAACTCATGCCAGCCAATCACTCTTCAGAGGTGGATTCATGTTGAGCAATGAGGTCCTCCCTTTGTCATCTTTTAGATGTTCACACCTGGAGGAAGAGCCATTATTTTGGGCTCCCTCTCATGTTCTGACAGGCTCAACTGGGTGCCGTGAGACTCTGGCTTCTGTGTCACTCACATGCCTGCCAGATCACTATTTTTATGCCTATGCAACCTCACTCTCATATGCCTCAGCCAGTGCTGCCTGAGGTCTAGTCCTGCCAAGGAGAAGCAACTGGTGACATCTAAGGTGAGCGGCAGGTAAGAAAGGTTAAAAAAAAAATCTGGAAGGCTGCCTAAGCCAAGAGCCCACCAGGCTTGTCCTAGGAATGTCCATATGCTTCTGCCCCAGTAAAGAAGCCAGTACCCACCAGCTGGTGCCCACAGAATTCTCCTTCTTGATGACATCCATTATGGCTACAGCCTTGGTCTTCAGGTGAGCTCCAGATCATGACCTGTGAGCATCCGTGGGCTGAGAGCTCAGACTTTGCAGACACAAGGATAGGTTTAACAACAGATGGGCCAACTCCCCAGGGCCCATTCACCGTGGGCTTGGAATACCAGAAGCTAACCATGGAGCTTGTGTCTCAGAAAGCTGGAAAAGCTGAATGGAGCCCAAGGGAGGACCCTGTATTTGTTTTCTACTGCTGCATAACAAATTGCCACAAACTCGGTGGCTTAAATCAACACCCATTTATTAGTTCACAGTTCTGTATGTGAGAAGCCTGGGTGGGTTTGTCCAGGCTCTATGCTTAGGGTATCAAAAGGCCAAAATCAAGATATTGGCCACACTGTGCTCTTGCCAGGAGGTTCTGGGAAAGAATCCACTTCCAAGCCCATTCCAGTTGTTGGCAGAATTTGGTTCCATGTGGCTGTAAGGTTGTGGTCCCAGACTGCTTGCTGGCTTTGGCCAGGGTCACTCTCAGCTCCCACTGACCACACTCTGATCCTGGCTCATAGTCCCCTCCATCTTCAAAGCCAGGAATGGTCATTGTTCTGGTGCTGCGAATCCCTCTGATTTCCCTGCCTACTATCAGCCTGAGAAAGCTCTCTGTTTTTAAGGGCTCGTGGGATTAGATCAGGCCTACTGATAGCCTCCCTATGTTAAGGTTGACTGTCCCATATTCCACAACATCATCCCAGGAGGGAGAGCTCATCATACTCACAGAGTATGGAGATTAGGGAGGGACATCTTTGGGGGCATTTTAGAAATTCTGCCTACCATAGGCCCACATCTAGTATCCATTCTGTACCACTAAGGCTCAGCCCACAAAGGTCGAGAGTGGCAGTTGAGTGACTGTGTGTGAAAGAGTGTGTGAGTGTGAATGTGCGACAGTGTGAGTGAGTGTGAGTGTGTGTGTGAGTGTGACAGTGCATGTGGGTATGTGCCCACACACACACCCTCTCCCTCTCAAGGCTGTCTGAAGCCCCACATGCGTCACAATAATAAAAGAAGTTACCATTACCTTTCTCTGTATTATAGGACTATGGGGTCTCCTGGCTTGACGAGACTTTAAAGACTATGCACCCCGACCCTCTCACAAAGGCAGCTTTTGCTTAAATACCCCCAATGACAGACAGCTCACTACATTCCTGAATAAGACATCAGCATTCAGTCATTTATTCAATAAACATTTACCAAGCATCAACTCTGGGCTGGGTCAGAACTAGACACACAAACACAAAGTTGAACAAAACATGATCTGGTGCCACTGTTAGAAAGCACTTCCTCACGAAGGGCCAAGATCTGTCTGTCTGCAGTCCCACCTGCTGCACCTCGTGCTAGCCCCTGGGGCACCAGCATAAGCCAGCTCTGCCACAGCTGGCACGCCTCCTCCTTCCCCTGCCCACATGTGCACCTGGCAAAACACACTCCAGCCAAGGAGCTGGCAGAGCCTGGGGCTGTGAGGACACCAGCTCCAGGCCAAGCCTGAGGGCCTGAAGGACCAGAGAGCAGCTTTGTCATCCCCAAAATGGATGGTCTTCCAGGCCATCAAGACAAGGAGGTGATCTGGTCACCTGGGCCGCTATCACCGCTTCTCATCACCCAGCCCCTGCGTGGTGCCCTACCTGCTCTATGGCCCTTGGCTGATCCTGCCAGTCACTATGTCCCCACCCTACCCTGCTCCACTCCCAACCCCCCTCAGCTCCTGGGAATCAGATGCCCCAGAGCCTTCCCATTGTAAGGTTCATATGCTAAACCCAGGCTAAGAGCCCTGGGCCCTCCTTGCTCTTCTAGAGCACAGGCAGCATCCTCTCAGGGGCCTTCTGAAGCTCACTGCCTGGCGCCCTGTCTAGAGGACTGCCGGGCAGGAGGGGCACCAGAGCAAACCTTTCACCGGGCTCTCAAGCGCATCCCATGAGTCAGGGGGCCACACGTGGACCCCACTTCATTCAATAAACTACCAGGTGCCAGGCCCTGGGGTAAAAGAGTAGATAAATATAACTCCTGCCTCCAGGGGCTGACGATGATGGCAGAGATGGACCCAGACAGTTCAACAGATTGTTATCATACAATGTGGTTAGTGTAATGAGATGCCCCAGATATTTTGGGATCCCAGGGCAGACACTTAATCCAGACTGGGGGTGGGAGCAAAAGGGGACGTTTCAGAATGGGGAGGCTTGTTTGAATCCCTCCCCTGACACGTACGTAGATCATTCTGGCAGCCCCTCCCCCTCCAGATGAGAATTATTACTCCAAAGACTGGGGCAGGAGTCACAAGCCAGGAGCTTGTTAACAATGTGAATTTGAATGCCATTAGGTGGGACAGGCATTCTCCACTTCACAAGCTCATCTGCTCCTACTGCTCACACTGTCATGGCACCAATGTGGAATGGGGACTCCTGGTCTACAGGGACTAAGTGAAGAGCTGGCACCTACTCTGTGACTGAGACCAGAGATCCCAGCCTGTCTGGAGAGGAGGGCTCAGAAACAGTGACTCTCACACATGCTGCATGTCGGGGGCGCTGTAAAAGGGGCCGGAAGAGAGCGCAGGCCCCCACAGACACCACTCGCTCTGGCCAGTGGGTGCAGCTTTGACACCCACCCCCACCCCCGCACCGTGCAGCTGTGAATACTCAGCCCCGCCCTCAGCTCCCTCTGGAAACCTGCCCCTCCTGTTCCTATTCCATCCTTCCTCCCCTCCCTTCCCCTGCCCTCCTGACTGTAGTCTCCACTTGTGCCCTGCCACTCACCTGTGCTTCTCCCTTTCCCCATCCTCCCCAGCTGCGCTTCCTCCCTAAAGATCCCAGAAGTCAAAATGAAGCACACCTTCACTACCTTTGACTTAAGTGTTACAATCTCTATTCCTAACTTGAAACCAGATGACTTGACTATTTCAAAGGAAGCTCTTTGTCAATGGCTCTGAATTTTTAAAAAGTTACCCACCCCTGATTTAACAAGTTTCACAAAATAAAGTGATTTAGCAACACTTCAGCTGCACTGTGCTCAATTCATAACGAATATTTATCTGCGCTGTGCTCAATTCATAACGAATATTTATCTATTCTAGTCAAAATGTTATCAGGGAAGTGGCTGTTCTGGATAGCCAAATTTTTTGGATTATAAAGTCTGTCCCCTTTATATCTTAATTTTTAAAATATTTGGGTGTGGCTTTTTAAATGAAATATGTAACACCTGCATTTTTAATCAAAGCATGCTGAACACAATTTAAAGTTCTCTCGATGACTCAGGGTCATTACTGTATTATCCAGTCACAATCTTACAGGTGTTTTGTCCCTAGACTATTGTGCTTCAAATTCTTGTGTCTGCTCTTCATAATTATTCTGTTTCCTCCCTCACCGTTGACTGTCAAATAATAATAATAACAAAACAGGAACATTAATGATGCTCCAAGCCCTGTGCTAAGGATTTTTTGTTTATTAGTTCATGCAATTCGCACAAGGTAGATCCTTTTATTATCCTCATTTGGTAGACTAGGAAACCAGCTCAGGCAGTTAAGAGCCTTCACCAAGGCCACTCAGTAGTAAGTGATGGGCTGTCACTTAAACCCAGCTGGTCTGACTCCAAAGCCCACACTTACCATCACCACGCATCCCCTCTGCGACCTAGAGATGTCCCTCTCCTCACTTCTAATTTGCTTCTTTAAGTCTGCCACAGGATAAGAAACAAGCTAGCCAGCTCATCAGAACTCTGTGTAAAGTAGGAATATATAGGAGATGGGATGGGAGGTGCCACAGCTGGAGAGGGAGCTGGGGAGGGGTTGTCCTCCATGAAAATGTCAACATTTTCACCACTTAAAGGGTATGGAGGTTTCTTTGGGGGAGATGAAAATGATTAAAATTGTGGTGACAGTTGTACAACTCTGTGAATATAATAAAAACGATTGAATTGTATACTTTAAATGGGTGGATTGTATGATACATGAATTATATTTCAATAATGCTACAGAAGAAGGAAAAGAAGAGAAGGAGGAGGAGGAGGAGGAGGAAGAAACAGGAGAGCCAGAGAAGCCCCGATGTGCACTTTGGCTGCTTAGATATTTTTCACGTTGTTATTAATGTTGTCTAAATTCCTATATGTACATTTGCAGGGAGGTGAACTCTAGCTAGGTATGTAGATGAGATAAAAAGTGAACAAAAGATAACTGTAGGCACCACCAGGGTTTTCCTGTTCTTATCTTTGCCTCCTAACTTTGCTTCCATAGAGTCCACCCCTCCCTCTGACCTGTACCCACCCTGAGTCCCAGGGGAGACCTGGCCAATGTCATCTTCCTAAGGAGGCAGGGGGCCTCCAGACCTTGGTCTGATTCCTCCTCCAGACCAAGAAATCAAACTCCACCCCCACCTGAAGAGGGGACAGCTTCATGGTTGAAGAGTCTAGATTCAAAAGATGTGGATTCTAGTCCCTGCTCTGTCACTTACACACTGTGTGTCCCTGTGCAAGCTAATTCAACTTCTTTGAGCCTTGGTTTCCTAATCTGCAAAAATGGGATACCAAGAGTATCCACTTGCTAAGCTGATGTGGGAATTAAAGAATGCAAACCACACAGCCTGTACTTGGCCCACAGTAAGCATTCAAGGGCAAGAGCTGCTAGAGCTGCCCATCTCGGCAGCAGGAATTTGGATAGTTAGCATTTACATGGGTGCACTGTGACCCAGGCACTGTCCTCAGCCTTACGTGTTGATTCCTTGCTCCTCACGACACTCCATGAAGGTATCTACTACTGTCATCCTCACTTTATAGATGAGGAAGAAGCTGGGGCCCAAAGAGGTTTCCTAATTTGCTCAAGGTCACAGAGCATGCTAGTGAGTGGCAGAACACAGAGGTCCAGACACCCTAATGTGTTGTCATCTGCTGGACATCCACTGCCCACCATGTTCTGGAATGGATACCGGGGATATAGTAGGAGCCAGACACAGTCTTCGAGGAGCTTATAGTCAAATGGGGCAGACAGATGCAAACCAAGACACCACAACCTACCAGGCAGAGACAGAACAAAGTTTCTGGAGAGGAGTTTGCAGAGGAATTTCTGGAAACCAAAGAGCGCCATTTGGACTTAGAATAAGAAAGCTTCCATTTTGCCCTTAGCCTGGGCATTGATAAGAACAACACAGGCTTTTTGCAGATGTCAGGCCCAGTATTACTCTGTAATTGAAACTGGCCTCAGAAACACATTGTTTCTGGTACTAAAAAATACCAGGACTCCTTCTCCCCTCATTATTAAAGGCCTAAAATGCTCAATTCATAACACACAGAAGGCCCTGCAGACCATTCAATTGATGAAGGCAGCCCTCCAGTCTGCCCGTGGGGTGTGAATGAGGGTCTCTACAGTCATGCTCACCCCCAGGGATGAGTGTGCCACCTCGCACCACGCAGGCTGGCACTGAGGAGTCGGCCAGAGGCACTGATGACCCCTTCCTTCCTGAGCTCACGGCTCCTCCAGGGAAGGAAAGCACTGAGCTTGTGGGTGGTGAAGCTCTGTTCTTGCCTTCACATCAGCAGTCAACTTTTTACTTTTTACCAAACAAGTTAAAGAAATGCTGAGATTCCGTTCTACCAAGAAAGGGAAGGACTTGCCTTTAAAAATGAGGCAGTCTCTTGGGAAGGGTTTGATCACTGACTAGGTCTCCGAGAGGGCTCGAAGTCCCACCATGTCAACTACTGAAGTCTGTAGTGCGCTCAGCAGGCAGGGACCCAACTACAGCCCTGGGGTGAGATAAACTGTGAAAGGATGACGGCCTCCCACTGTTCTTGGGCTAAGATCCAAACTTCTTACTGGGGAGCACAAGGCCAGTCTGATTGTGCCCTGTTACTCCTCCAGCCCAGGGTGTGGCACTTCTTCTAACAGACCTCTAACCACATGGGCCTCCTGGAAGACTTGAGGGCCTTTGCCCTCGCTGACTCCTCTACCTGTAAGGCCCCCTCAACTCTACACACAGCTAGCTCCTTTGTACCCTTGAAGTGTCAGCTAAGATGTCACCTACTTGGAGAGACCTTCTCTGATTACCCAGGCTAAAAAAAGGATTCTCTCTCTCTCTCTGTAGCTCTTTCTCTGTCTCTCTCTCTCCTTATTCATCTCCTGCGCAGCACTCCTAGGCATGTTTGTCCTCAGATCCATTCCTCATCCTCTCCCGTGTTTCCCAGGTATGTTCACAGGCTTCCTTCTAGGTTAGGCCAATGGCAGCCATTGGGGAAACCTGGAAGGTGCAGGAAGGGCAAAGCGGGGTATCTCCTGCCTCCACCTCTGCCTTGGGAGGCATCTCTCCAGCTGCTGCCTCTCCTCCTTGGCTCCAGTTTCCATTGGAAAGGCCACCACAGTTCCACTGTACCTAGGGTGACCCCAACCCAGCTCTAACAATACCACCTCTTCCCTGGTCTCTCGAGCCTAGGGTGGTGTCTGCTCCCTACTGTGTCTAATGGCTGAGCTGCCTCTCTCTCCTCCGGCTTCTCAGCTCTCTGCCACCTGTGTAACCGATCCTCTGCATTAAAATGCTATTTCTAATACTCCAGTAGCTTCTATTTTCTGGTTAGACTCTGACTGATACAACACTTATCATAACTTGTAATTTTTTAATTAATGTGTCCAGTTACTTAGTTACTGTCTAGCCCCACAGGGCAGGGACTGCATCTGTCTTGTTCATTATTACATCTCCAGTCCCAGCACAGCACCTGGCAAATAGAGAGCTGTGTTAATTAATAATACGAAACACTTGTCAAGTGAGAAAAAGAAGTAAAATCGACGTTTCCCAAGAAATCCTCAAATTTCCAAAAAGAAAAGGGAAATGCCATTTGGAAATGGTATGTATTTAGGCACACGATTTGTTATTAAAACAGCAGCAGAGGGAAAGTGGGTTTTGATCTTTTCAACCCAACAGAGACACCGAGACATCCTTCAATAAATAGGTGGTGAGTTAAGTGGTCTTGGTTCAGAAATCAACACAGCTCCAAGGGGACAAACTAGTCCCCATTAGGTGCCCCATCTCTGACGCACACCCGTAGCCCACCCGGGTCTGCACAACTCCGCGCACACAGAAGCCAAGTCTCAGGGACAAACCTTTTTGCGGTCTCCACAGACTTCTGCTCTGCCAGCTCCTTCTGCAGCTCCCTCTCCTTGGCTTCCTTCTGCCCAATGGGGCAGTCCTCCGGAACAGTGAACAGGGACAGGGCATCTTTGCTGTCCTCTTCTCGCAGCACTTTAGCAAACACCTTCTCGGCCAGGAGCCGGACTTGCTCATCCACTTCAGAGATGTTCAGCTTGGGGAACTGGCGCGGCATCTCGGCTAGCAGAGAAAGAACACACATTAACTTCACGAGTTGCTGGGCGGCCTGAGTCACCGGTGCAGGGGAGGAGAGGCAGCAGGCCCGCCTGGTCCTCGGAGTCAGCTGTCTACTCGGGAATTCCCCAGACCAAGCCCACACGGCAATTTCAAAATAAGTTCAGTAAGTAACTGGGTTTGGGGCATGTAGGGCTACTCCTGTTCAGGAGGAAGCAAGTGTCCAGAAGTAAAAGGCTGTTTAACTAAGGGTGCCTCCATTTTCCCCAACTCAGGGATATACAGCACGCTGGCGGCCCTACCCTCCTGACTCTGTGTCCACGATTAAGAAGGGACAAGAGACAGCTCAGAACACTCCCGCCTCCAGACTGTGAGGAGCCTGTTAGCCTCCCCCCCGACGTCACAGACAGGAAGACCAAAGCCCAGAAGGTTTAACTATTAGCTTAAGATCCCACAAGTTAACAGCAGAGCCTTGAAAAATCCAAAGCCACATTCTTCTTTACATAAAACAAGGCCTTTTGCTAAAAAGAAAGAATCTGCAATCGCAGTTCCAGTCCCCTAAACCCTCCAGAACCTTCTAACAAGTCACAGCAAATAAAATAAAGGTTTGGGGACAGGATCATTCTTTACTGAACTGAAAGCTCACTTCCTCAAAGAAGCTTTCCCTATCTCTCTGCATACTGGCCCCGTGCTATCAGTAACTGGCCTCAATCACCTGATATCTTTCTTTCTTTCTTTCTTTCTTTCTTTCTTTTTCTTTGTTCTTTTCTTTCTTTCTTTGCAATTACTTGTATAGTACTTAATATGTGCACTCTGCCAAGAGCATTATATGTATTAACTCAGTTAATCTTATTATTCCCATGTTATAGGAGAGAAAACGAAGGCACTGAGAGCTAACTTGCCCAGGGTCACACTTTTAATCAGTCACTGTCTCAGCCTTTCTCCCCCGTCCCTTTCCTCTCCGAGCCTCTGCTCAGAGATCTGAACCCAGGCACCTAGTTTCCAAATGGGTGCCCTTAACCACTGCGCTGTGCTGTTCTCTTTGTCCATCTGGGGTCAGGGCAGGATCTCCTCACGGTCCCCACACTTATGGAATGGATGAATACTGCACCCTTTCCAACAAGCCACCTTCACCAGGAGCGGATCTGGAAGGAGTTTCCTGTCTACTGCCACAGTTTCTTCAAGGCTGGTTGTGAAAAGTGGTTTTGTCAACCAGACAGACAAGGATGAAGGTGAGACTGTCCTGGCAGGGGGAGAGGGGGAATCACTGGGCTGTCTTGGGACAAACATTCCCCGGCCTCACAATTTTCTCATCTGTGAGATGAAGGGATTGAACTAAGTGGTCTCTAAGGCTCTCTCAGGTCTAAATGGTGTGATTCTAGGCACAAGAGAAGTTTTCGGCACCAGAGGAGGGCTTGCTGCCCTGGTCCTCTCAGCAGCATGTGGAACTGCTCACGACACTGACAGGAAGGAGGAAAGCAGGCTAGTAAGCGGTAGTCACGGCCGTGTCTGTGGGCCCCTGAACTCTGAAATCCATTTCTTCTTCCCACCTAAGGATGTGCCTCTCCTGGGCCCCTGTCACCCTAGTGGGGGAGAGGGAGGAGGAGGGCGCCGATGGGGAAGGGCTACCACAGCACCCTACCGAGCTGGTCTAGGGAGCAGACACCAAGACAGCAAAGGCCTGGCCTCTGCAAAGAGGAAGAGGAACAGAGCTGACCATGGTGATTTCCATCCCCTGACAGCAGAGAAGGGGAAGCTAGAAGCCATCAGAGCACAGGCTCAGAGAAGAAGGTGACAGGGAGAGAAATGCTGGAACAGCACAAAGTACTAGACCCAGGAGGCTCTGTCAGGCCTAAGCAAAGCTGGACCCTGGCCCCCCAACTCTATACCCACGGGTCAAGTGCAGCATTTCAAGACTTCACATCACATCTCAGAAGCAGACAGCAAACAGGCCCCAGGCAAAGGGCACCAAATGCCATAAAGCAACATACCATTTGACTAAGTTACACTACTTCTAGAAATTTCTTCTAAGAAAAGAATATGAGGGAAGGAAAAGCACAAAAATGTTTACCTGCACTCTTTACATAAATGGCTTTAAAATATCCAAAGTAGAGCATACTCACTTAAAAAAAAAATGTTAAGCAACCAAAATTATAATAATGAGGAGGGTGCAATCACATAAAAAAATCTCTTGTGAAATACAGTAAATGAAAAACTTAATACATGAAACTGTGCCCATGCTTTGATTACAACAATATGAAAATGCATCCCTCACGGACAAGGGCTGCAAGGGAGACCACGCTCGAAATGACCACATGGCGGGGTTGCCTGTGTGTGAGGGGATGTTCCACTCTGATAATTAAGGCTGCTATAACGTCACTTTTAAACACAAAGAGAATAGAAAGAAAATGAGTAGACTTAAGACTTAATGAAAAGAGAGAAAATTAGGAAAACAAGTCGAACGTCTCCTTCTGGCAGGTTTTGGCAGATAGGGCCCTGTCCCACCTAACCGACACCAGTAAGCGGCCAGTCCAAATGGAGCTACAGTTGAGACCTACCTCTGCATTAGCTCCTAGGCTAGACGGAAGCTGCCACCACCACCACTTTCCTACCCGCTCCATCCCCACAGACACACACAGGCCTGACCCTGACACACCTTGCTGGGCTTCCTCAGAAACGGGCATTTGGGTGGGTGGCAGATCCTTTACGTCTGAGGGCTCTCATGCCAGATGCTGCCAGGTTTGTCCATGAAGCATTTCTAACTTGCTCAAGTTAACTAACCAAACTTTTCAGGTTACATCTTTCTATAAAAGATTTTCCTTTTTCTTTAGCTTAAATAGCTTAGCTCAATCTTTCCCAAACTGGATCCCATAAGATGCTGGTAAAACAGGTCCCGTTGTCAATTACTGGGAGATACTGCATTCCATAGCCCCTCAACCCATGTTCACAAGGCCCATTAGAGACTCAAGGATCACAGAGTAGCATTTCAGAACCCTTTTGTTGTTTTTCTGTTTGTTTCGTTGTTTACAGAACCCATATGAATCTTATGCAGAACAACTACCAGTGTCTTAAATGGTTGGTGAAGAATTCATTCTATATCTTAGTATGGACCAAGTAACCCACCTGAGGTGCTACAGCCTTAGCAGCCTGCTGCACATCTGCTGTCTTCTGGATGTCCTTGGCGGACAGTGCCCACCTGCCAACCCTTCCCTCCAGAGCTTTTCTCCCCATCAGACCCTCCAGACACCTGCCAGGCCAGGCATGCCAAGGAAAGCCCACTCCACGGATACCAAGCAGAGTTTCAGCTCCAGCTGCCTGTTCATGCCTAGCTTTGAACCATTCATCAGTAAAGCCAGCGGGCTTGGGAGGCTTCACTGTGAATTCACCGGCGTCACTCACCGGTGATACATCTTATCTCACTGTTACACGCGACACGCTCCCATGAGCTTGAAGTGTCCCAGAGTCAGAAAGCCCTAAAACAACACCAGTTTAAACAAATAGTAACTTTTCACAGCACCACAGCCCCACCAGAAAGGAAGCACAGTGCCACTTAAATCCCCTCCTTATACAAATGAAGCCGTTTCCTACTCTTGCCAGGCTCCCATCACCAGAACCCACAACACAGACCTGAGCCCGGCGCTGGAGTCTCCATGACGGATCCAGTGGATGCCACACAGGTGATGCGCTAGAGCCAGGTGCTACCTAGTAGCCCAGGGAGCTGAGCTGAGTCAGTGTGTGAGCGCAGCTCGCTGGGTCCTGCCTGTCACTGCCAGGCTGGGAGGTTTCTGCTTTGCATGTCTGTGAGCAGCAGTGAGCCAGAGCAGGAAAAGTCCGGGCTAGAAATTCTTCCATGAATATGACATACAAGTGGAAAATTTCCAAGAGTCATAAAGGCCCCAGGTAATGCCAGCTATCCCAGGCAGAGTGGCTGTGGTATCTGAGTGCAGTGTCCTGGCCCTGTTCACAGCCCTCAGCAGAAGAAACAAAGCGGCAGCTGCCCCAACACACAGTACATTCAGCCACCCTGACGGATGTCAGGAGATAAGCCGCAGCCTCCCTCCAACGCCCAGGCTCCTCCTGAAAGCTGAGTAGCAATGAGCGATACCATCCCCTTTGCTGCTTCCGTATTGAACCCATTTCAGACCTGGTCTGGCGACTGAATTTATCCTACCAAGGGGATTCATCTCAGGCACAGCTTGCCCTTCCTCCTCTCAGAAAGCCCCCAAAGCAACCCTCCGGAGGGCACCCCAGCACTGGCAGGGGGAGCTCCAAGCCCAGTTCCCAATACAATCCCCTCCCTCCCCTCCTCCTCTAAAAGGGAAGGACCATGAACTGCTTCCACCTTTCTCAGGAAAGGACAGAGACTCAGGGAGAGGGGACTGCCTCAGCACAGAGGCAGACTGCAGACAGGGGCAGGCTAGGATGAAAGGTGGGCAGCCTCATTCCATGTTTTCCTTTCTTCCCAGAAAGAAGCTGCACATCACAGGTGACTGAGCAGCCTGGGATCTCTACCAACCCCCCAAACACACACACAGAAGAAGCATGCCCACCTGACCCACCCGAGCCCACCCCCACACCCTTCCCTTCTTACTGCCACTCGCGGCTCCCACATGGGCCTCCAGCTCGGAGCAGCCTCCTGAGCGCTGGCTGGACTCTGCCGTTCTCCCTGGGGAAGGTGGAGACCACCTCAAGGGACCCACGGGAGCAGTCCTCTAAAACCAAGCAGGGTAGATTAAAACAGCATCACAGGGTGGTAAGCTCCGTTTTTCATCTGCCCTTCAGGAGAGTGGGAAGGCTCAGAACAGACACACGGCCTCCCAGTGACTTAGATAAATCGTGTGGGTCTGGGAGATAACCATGAGCAAAATGGCTATTTCTGTGGTGCTGTTGAAATCCTGGGGAGAAGAGCCCAGAAAGGATGGGCCAGTTGTTTACCGGGAGGCTAGCTGTAGCCCTGACTTGGGCCTGAGTCACCTCCTCATGTCCAGTCGTGAGGTTGTGCCTTACTGAGCGCACATCATAATTCCTGCGAGCACAGAGCAGATTACAGGGTTGACACATGATCCTCGAGCTGCCGCTGGGCTTTAGCTACCCAGGGATTACGATCCACCTGTCCTCACAGCTGTTTCATAAACAGTGCAACTAGCAGGCTACAAGCAACCTAGAGGGAGGGTAATATTTATTCATTAAATAATTAAATGGATTTACAGCATAAGAAAAAAAAATCCAAGCCCTTAGTACTGTCCTGCCAGAAGGGAAGAGAGCAAATGATTCCTTCTGCTGGTGTTTTGGGGAAGGGGGTGGTTCCGTGGGGCTGCAATGGGCATCCTAGCCCGTGGACCTGAGTCTAGCATGTTCAGGGGATTTTATCCTGCACCTTTAACCAGATCCTGGATAGCCTTAATCTAAACAAGCATTTTCCAAAGTGCAGTCTATAGAACATAGGATATCAGAAGGCTTGGAAAATAGTGTATAATCCCTTATGAGGATTCATGCAAAATTTCTACTAGCAGATTCAACATCAGAGAAGTCTTACAATAAAGAAAGCTGCTTAACTTTGTTTAACCCAATGCTCTTATTTGACTGTCCCATCACTGTTGTCATAGGAAAAATACCTATTAATATCCTGTGGCATGGGCTTTGGAAAACACCTTCCACTTTGAACCTTCATTTTCCAACCTAGAGAAAGCTGCCTTCCTGGGGCCCAGCTACGGGTGTGAGACCCACTCCTTCTGGTCCAGAGAGAGATGGGCAGTAGCCCCACTAAGATGACATAGATCAGAACAATGGCCAAAGGTCCTGCTGGAGCCAAAGGGAGACCCTCCAGAACATGGGCAGTTTAGGAGAAAACTATAGCTCTGTCTCAGGAGGACAAACTCTGCTCAGGACCTCACAATTCCACCTTGAGCCTAACATGTCCCTGCTCCTTGTGGCCTAGATGTCTCCTTGGACTGAAGAGCACCAGTCCCAAGCTCAAAGCCTTATTTCCCTTTTGAGTTGGACATGAAGACAATCTACGATAACCAGACGGACCCAGGGCCTGCTTCTTCTGCCCAAAAGACCAGACTACATTCACTTTTATCACTCAAGTGACCCTTACAAACCCTAAAAGACAGGAAAGGCTGGAATCCAATTATGTCTCATCAAGAAAGATAGCACTCCCCTCCCCAAAAGCAAGGCAGGAGCTTGCCTATACAAATCCATTCATTTTCCTTCTCCTCTCTGAGGTGTGTGTGACTCACAAGGAATTGGGCAAAATATCAGCTCCATGACAAATCTTACCTGTCTTGTTCACGATTGCATCCCCATGCCTGAAATATGGTAGGCATTCAACAAATGTGTGTTGAATGAATGAATGCATAAAACAATGAATGAGTGAATGAGCTTAGTCAATCCACCTATGGCAATCTCAAGAATCAGTACAGTGTATGGTTAAGAACATAGACTGAAGCCAGACTACCTAGGTTAGATCCTGTCCCACCACTTAGCTGCATGACCTTAGGCAAGTTAATAAACTTTTCTGTGGCTCAGTTTTATTCCTTATAAAATAGGGATAATAGGTTGCCATGATAAATTAGTTAGCATATGTAAAGTGCTTAGACTAGTACTCGGCACAAGAATATGTGCTTTATAAGCATTATCTCTGTCAAGACCATTGTCATCATCATCATTATTATATCAGATGGAAGAGAGGGTCCAACTGGGAAAATGAACATCAAGTTTTATCCAGACACTGAATCCTTTTATTCAACATTATTTATTGAGCACTATTATGTGCCTGGCACTCTCCCAAGTTCCTACCTGGATGCAGGAAAAAGAAAAAATGTGAAGCTAGATCAGAAGGAGGAACAGCCTTGTCCTCTATGAACGCCACTTCTTCGTGACTGTGCATGGCCAGGACTTCAGCCATGAGCTCATACTCCTATGCCCCAGTCAGTTCCTCATAAATCAAAACTACAACGCCACTGTCTCTTGTCCTAGATATGCAGCCAGCACATGGAAGAACTACGAGACTAATATACTTGGTGGAAGAACTAAGAAGGCCAATGAGCAGGTTTAGGGGAGAAAAGGTATCTCCCTGTTTAACCCGAAGGATATTTTTTATCTGCCCATGACATTCTCAAGATCTAGGATAGATTCTGAGGCCATTTGAAGAGTAACCCATTAAGAAAAACAAGCCTCATTTCTCAAAGAACTTCTTGACCTAACTAAGAGCCACTGACTCCATATCCCAGACCTCAGAAGACTGAGGCTGGGCTAAGGATGGGGCTGAGAGGTCAAAGAGTCTCCCAGCAACCCTCTCATGCAAGCGCCATTATTCCTAAAGAGGGAAGCCCCATACCATCATCTTCAGAGCAAGCCAGGCCCCTCAGAGTTGCAGCCAGGCCAGACCAACTATCCCAGACCTGCTGTCAACACCCCAAGAGGTGGCAACTGACAGAGGCTCTGTCTGCCCGGCTCAGTGGCTCCACTATCACTCATCATGGATGCTTCGCAGCCAGGGAAGGAATTTCCCATCTGAAGGTTCCAGTTGCAGCCAGCTTTTCCTTGAAGATGGCCAAATGTTAGTCACCACATCTAGGGGGAAAGCCAACAAGGTTCAGGACCATGCTGAGCCCCTCCTTATGCTGCCGGCTTTCACCCAGCTCCTTTGCTAATTTGTCGTCACCAAGCTTTCAGCTACATACACTTTAGGGAAATGACACTCCTACTCTAGGGTCTCTCCAAGCTCTCCCCAGAGGCCTCTGCCAGCCTAGACAAGCCATTAGCGGCGCTGCTGGCAAAGCGACTACCAGAAGATCAAGGGCTGAAAGCAGATGCCAGAGAGCAAGGCTGTACACCTCCCTTGCCAGGAGAGAGCCAAAGAAGTAGGGGTGAAGGCCTCAAACGACCCCAGCACCGTATCATCCTGTCCACCTCCTGCCTCCAGGTAGAAGTTCACGTGGGCGGTCCTCATCCGGCTGGTCCTTAAGCACCTAGAAACTTGTCCAGGTGCTTAAGAGGCGAGGCGTTAAGTCCCAGGTCCCTTGATTTCTCTAAACCTTGCGATTCCATTCTAGGCCGCCAGGGAACCAGGATGCTGCCGGCTCACCTGAGGCCTCTGGAGCCCGCCGGGGCCACCTCAGGGGCAGGGGCAGGGGCAGAAGCAAGGGCCGAGCAGGAGATGAGCTGGGGTCGGCGGCGCGGCCTCTGTGAGCCTGGAAGCCGGGAGCCGAGGTTCTGACCCCAGAGCGCTGCTGACTCCGGCCCTGCGCCGCGGGGTCCGCAGGGTGTGGGCCAAGGTCAGCAGTGCAGCATCGCGCGCACTCACCGGGTTCGGAGGACAGGGCCATGCCGTGGACCCGAAGGGGGTGGCCGCAGGGCTGGAGCAAAGGTGACGCGCTGGGCAGGGCGCACAGCAAGAGCCGCGGAGAGGGGCTGCCGGGCACTGAAGCCAGCCAGGGCCGGGGCGGGCCAGGCCGCGCCCGGCGGCAGGCGTGGGGGCCGGGCGTTCCGAGGGCGCAGCGCCGCGGAGCCCCCGCCGGGCGGCCCAGCGCCGGGAGGGAGGCCGCCTCGGCCGGGAAGCAGCCCGCGCGCCGCGCGCGCCCAGTCGGTGCCCTACCTGGGCGCGGAGAGGAGGAGCGGCGAGGGGAGGGGACGGAGGGGCGCGGGCCCAGCCGCCGCCGCCGCCCGCCAACAGGCCTGCCCGCTGCTACCTGAAGCGCCGGGCCGCGCTGCCAGCAGGAAACTTGAGAGCAGCAGGGGCGCGGCGGCCGCCCTGTCCCTCAGCCGGAAGCGCGCCCGCCGCCGCCCGGGCTCCGCGGGGCCCGCGCCGCAGCCGGTCAGAAGCCAGTCGGGCTCCCCGGACCTTGCTGCCGCTGCCCTGCGGGCTCCGACACCGCTCCCCAGGGCGTTCGGGTGTGCCTGAGCTCTTCCCCTTCCCGCTAGAACTTTCCCCAAGGCGAGAGTCTGGTGGTCTCCGCCCCCACGCAGGTGACTTACTCCCTGTAGCCGAAGTGACCCGCAAGCATCGGTTTTCTCCTAGGCGTCCGTCAGGTCACTTGGATCGCCTTCCCGCCCCTCCTAACACACACACACACACACACCCTCCACCCCTCTGCTCTCTGGCTTTTGCACCCGCCCCTCAAAGTCCCGAATGACCTCCTAGTCGTCAAAGCCAGGGGCTGCCCTGCAGCCTGCCTCACTCACCTCTTCCCAGCATTTGCGCCTGCTGGCCACGCCTTCCTCCTACGACGCCTGGACTACAGTTTCCAGAGTTGTGCCCCTGCTACCCTCCTCTCTCTCCCCAACTTTCCACAGAGCTGGGTGCCTATAGCTTCTAGGCCTCCATAGCCTGGCTTTTCACTGTGGTGCTTCCCGGGTCCCACCGTGCCAGCCCCCTCTCTCACTCTGCCGGCCCACTGTGGGGATCTCAGCCACTCCCATGGTGTTAACCACCTCCTGCCTGCTAAGGACTCTTGAACCCCATCTCCAGCCCAGAATGCTCCAGACCTGCTGCAGATGGTGTATCCAACTTCCCGGGGAACAGATCCACTGGCAGTGCCTAGGCCCACGGAGACGTGTCCAGACCCAAACTCCTAATTGCCTCCCAGGAACGCGCCAGAACCTGCTTCTGTGTTTCCAGTCTTAGTGAATGATGTCACCGTGCACCAACTCCCCAGGCCACATTTGGGAGCCATCCTTGCCTCTGTCTTCCTTTCATCTCTCGCACCAAGTTAGTCACTAAGCCGGGGAAGGAAACTTTTCATTAGTGAGCACCCGCCACGTGTCCTCGTGTGCCAACCGCT